TATTTAATAGAAAATTATATAAGTTTATTTAAAAAAATTAATAAACAGTATTAAATATATTTTGTATATTCGCAAAAAAGTATAGAAAGACTATTTATCCAAGGTCACCTTTCCAATAACATTAATTTTTATTAATGCACTTGTTATAAAAAAATGTTATTGTAAACTTAATAACAAACAGAGAGTAAAAAAAAATTAAAATTGTTGCAAAATTAATACTTTATAGAGATGTTGGTACCAAACTTTAAAATATCACTACCAAACGTCAGGAATGGTTTAGGAGTCAAGAGAAAAAAGAATTTCTGAAAAACAACAATTTTTAATCAAGATGATTAAAAGCACTTGATGAAGAGCTGAAAACTGTTTATTGCAAAATTACTAATTTATAGAGATTTTTGTACCAATCGTTAAAATATCACTGTTGGAGTCAAGAAAATAGAATTCAAAAAAAGAAAATATTTTTATTGTTAGACATTTTTAAAAACTTAATTTTTTTCTAATAGAGTTACTCTTCTAATTTTTTTAAGCATTGCCACATAGCACGACTTCTTGCTGTCAGGTTATTGTAAGGATATATATAGGGTTTGTAAGGTGCCTAGTAAACTTGAGGTCATCTTAAAACTTCCGCCATTACAGTAAGCTTACATAGTAAAGCTAGCGTAAGCTTACACAATAAGGTTGTGGAAAGCTTACACGGTAAGGTTGTTGTAAGCTTCCCGTAAGGTTACCAGTGATGCCAGGCTTCACACCAATTCCACTCCCACCATGCCGCCCGTGCACCTCCCTCCATACGGCCACACACACAAGTATAAACCGTGCGCTTACTTTTGTAGGTGTGATTTTTTTTCGTTTTCCTCATATTCGCCCGCTTCAGCTGAGCAATAATTATGCCTGCTTTTACCGACAGCCGATTAATTTCAGGCGCGAATTTTTGAATTCTTTATTATATAAATATACTTTTATTAATGTTTTTATAGATATTTATTAATAAATAATTAATAAATAAACTATATATATACTATATTATAAATATAATATATTACATATATATATATGTGACGCGACGCAAAGAAAGGGACCTAAGAGTCCAACTTTTGATTTTCGGATTATGATTGATTCAGATAAATTAAGGATTGCTTTTTAATTATGTGAAGTCAAAATTAAATTTTATCAAATAGTTTTTTTGCAATAACGATTTAAACATGAGCGATTCGTGTAGAGAATTGACTCTCTTTCTCCTCACACACACATGCGTACGCTCCCCTCTCACTGAGTCCATGCGTCACTTGAAGTTCGGGTCGGTATTCGTGATTTAGAGAGAGATGCGCTGACTACACCGTTCTCTCTCACTACGAAAGCACGTGTACGAGGTGCATCTCTCTTTACTTTCCGAAGACGCCCGAACACACAGACGCCAACTTGAAATAGTAGTGGGAAGCAAGAGAGAGTAAGAGATATCGGAAACTCTTCGCCACGTTCTTGCCTACTCTTTTCTCTCTCCTGTGAAATTGCCGTTTGGACGCTTAGGTCCCTTTCTTCGCGTCGCGTCACATATATATATATATATAATGTAATATATAAATAGTACTAAAAAATAAAATTAATGGTGATAATAATTAATATTAAATTAATTATACCTAATTATAATCACTATAAGTAAAAAAAAGATATTTTTTAAAATATTGGCTGTAAAAAGTACATAGTTATTGTTATATCCCCAAAATCTGAAAAATTGTATCTTTTAAATGTTTTCAAGACTAGAAAAAATAAAATGTACTTTTCACAGCCAATATTTCTCTAAAATAATTTTTACAAGTTTGCTTTCGTCGTCGTAAAAATTTACAACGTCAAAATTTTGACCCTGCAACTATTTCCGTTTGAGAGATACAGATTTTTAATAGTTTTGACAGTATAACATTTAGCCCCGGTCTCCCCTATTTTATAATTATTATTTTATATTGTAGACCAGGAATGTTGTCAAACATATGAGGACTGATACTTGTGTAAAACAACTGAGATTGCACCAGCTCAAAAAACCGAGTTTAGATGTTATCACACAATGGAACTAAACAGCTGATATGCTCTCATCGTTATTGGCAGCAAAAAAATGTTGTAAGGACTTTGCGGGTATTAGACGTCAATTGCACCTTCCTGACTCAAGGTGCTCACAAATTGAGGATCTACTATCCGCATTAAAACCTTGCAAAAGTTCAAAACTTAGTCTCCTAAAAGAAAATCTTTTACCAAGAGATTTATTTGGAATGTAAATTACGGACAAAAATGGTGAAAACGACACATTCTTCAAATCTTGCTAAATCAATAGATCGAAGAGAAACAATTCTCCTCGGGAATAAGGCATTACTTGCATCCATGTACTTAGATGCAAGATATTTACCTTTTCTCTCAGAGGAGAATTACAATATAGCTAAGCAAGTTTTAAAAAAATTGTGGAATAACATTTCTAATAACGATCAGAGCATCCCAGTAAAAAAAAGTTGGAGAGCACGATACGGGGTATTCCATATAGCAGCGTAGTAACTTGAATATGGAATTTGACTTTTTTCATATAGAACCGTTTGGTGCTATATGGAATTATAAGAAGGTCCTATAAGGACAACTTTTATGGCTGGTTCAGATAAGAAATACCACTTAAAAGGACACAGTTATAAATACAGGATTATTAATTTATTGTATTAAAACTAATATTATAAATGAAATGCAAATTTTGTAAAAAAAGTAAATATTTCTTGGTTCATATTTAACAGTACAAATGAGTTTTCCTTTCAGGACGGTAAGTCGCTCTACTTTATCGACAGTGGATATAAAATGTAACGCGCAAAAATGTGATTTGTGTAGTCAGTGTATAAATTACTTATATACTTTTTATTATGATTCTGAACAATCAATCGTATGTTTTCTTATTTTTAAAATTTTCAAGTTTTAAAAATAATTTAAATTCTAAAATTGACGAATATCTTTTTTCAAATTTTAATAATTTACTTGAAGATTTTTGAACCCTTTTATTAAAATAATTATAACTAATTGAATTTTTTCATAAATTAAACAAAATTTTATGGACATATCAGTGAGTAAATGTACTTTCAAGTAATGAAACGAAAATTTAAAAAAATTAGTTTTTTTTAAATTTTTAATAATTTTTTTTATAAACAATTGAAATTTTAAGTGCTTTCTGCACGCGATTTTTTGAAATTTTTTTTTGCTACGTGTACCTTAAAATGTAGTTAAGCAAGAAATGAAAAGACATTTTAGGGCAAATTAAACGGTTTTCTATAATTTGACTTAACTTCCGAGCACTGCATATTGCGCGCCTGCACTGCCGCGCGAAAGCCACGCACGTTCAATGGCGCCGACCCTGTAGTATTTAATTTTTCTCTGGTATCAGTTAGGTTTTTTATAATATAATCGAATATTTTATAATAATCATAATAATATATTTTAACCTTCACCGGACGGGATACAAAAAGATGCAGTTTTTTCTAATTTTACAATTTATCAAGCTGAATATAATAAAACACAGATTTGGTGTAAAATTATTAATTCAACAATTGTTTAAACAATTTATATTTGCTACTGTCTATGTACATTTAAGAAAGTTATAAATTATTAATAATAAATTATTTAAACAAAAAAAAATCAATAAAACATTAATAAAATATATCATTTGGTAACATATAAAAATTTCAGAAAAAAACTGGATAATTAACTACATTTTAAAGAACACGTAGCAAAAAAAAATTTCAAATAATCGCGTGTAGAAAGCCCTTAAAATTTAAATTGTTTATAAAAAAATTATTAAAAATTTAAAAAAACTAATTTTTTTAAATTTTAATTTTATTACTTGAATGTACAGTTACTCAGTGATATGTCCATAAAATTTTGTTTAATTTATGAAAAAATTCAATTAGTTATAATTATTTTAATAAAAGGGTTCAAAAATCTTCAAGTAATGTTACATCCCAGTAACAAAAATTTTAAAAATATATTAAAATATATTTCATTTATATAGGCATATAATAAGTAGTAAAAATAATAGTAAACAAAGCTTTACTCTCAATCTTTCAAAATTGATAATCTAAAATTATAATTATTTCTAATATTATATTGAAGCATTGACTCATATATATCATTACATGTGTCTATGTCTATATATATGCATATCTCTGCCTGCATGCTATGACTCGACGCGAGCAAACAATGTATATAGATATAGTGCGTACAGGCATGGAGATGTGAGTATAGATATGGCGCGTAGATGCATCACCGAAGGTGACCTCCCGCTACAGAAGGGCTATGCTGAGGAATCGCGTGTGGTTGTTGAACAAGAGCGAAAAAACTATCTACACTAGTTTTCGCCCTAATTCTTCAAAATTAATTTTTTTTTTTCGCAATATTATATAAAATTCAATTACCTATATATTATTATCAAAATAACAAACCTCATATTTTCAATATTTTAAGATTACAAAACGCTATTATTCAAAAGTATGAATAATGCTCAATATAAAAACTTTCCTAATATGATTTCCACGCAATTCTTTGGCTAATTCTTAGGAATTGTTTTTGCAGCTGCATAAAGTATAAAATTCTATGCAATGTTCAATTTCTCACTTGTATCAAATAGCATAGGCTAACCTTTGACTTGAATATCGAAAGCCTGTTGGTAGGCAATTCCTAGAAATTATACCTATGCCATTTGACACTACTACGCACAATACTCTCTAGCAACGAGTGGACTTATGACTCATGTATGCGTTTAGCGAGGCGCAAGCACAGTTTTCGAGCGTAGTACTATTGGAAGATGCTTGTAGACGATGTAATAGCGATACTTGCGCTATGCGATACAGGATGCAGGTGTCCATCTAAGTTCTGAGAATTGTCTTAATTCTATGAAGGATCTAAGAGTCAAGCTTGGAGATGGGGTGATCTTTGAACTTATTTACTCCCACTGAGGATGATTTTCTAGTATAAAAACCGATGCAAATGCATTGTCATTTGCTCCGGAATCATTTCATAGTTCGTTTCATAACGTGAAATTACCATCGTGAGTTTGACCCTTCGGTTACTTTAAAATTATTACGACTGTAACTCTTGCATCTCAAACAGTATATGTTTACTCGTTGTTCGGTATTAGAGCAAGTAATCATCATCGCCAGATTTGTAAGCTTGTCATTTATTAAATTTTATTGTTAATCGTCGTATTAGTGTATTCTCAATTTAACGATTTTGCAAACGTGACGTGTGTGCATTTCGGAGTTTACGAACTAAAAAACTGTGAGGAAGTCTCAACCGTTCCTTTTCAGGAGTTGTAAAAACTCACAGCGTCAAGGACAAGTGCCAACTTGTCAATTTATATTTGTTTCTGCCCTCTGAACAGAGGTAATTGTAAGTACTATATTTTAAAATTCACAATTCTTGTAACAACATCTTTTAACATAAAACATTATTGTAACATTTTGATTTAATTCATTTATATTAATAAATTATACAACATTTATATCAAAAAATTATTCACTGAGTTTCTCATATACCTAAATTCATATTTAAATTAACAACTATAAGTGTCAAGGCAATTATTTAATAGTAAAATAAATTAAAAGACGACCCCCGTAGGATCGATAGGAACAAACGTTCTCACATAAAAATAAATGGTCAAGCTTTACCAACTTGACTTAATCAGCCTACCATTCCTCCAAAATTTTAAAATTGATTTTATTAATTAAAATTAAATTCAACCTCGCCTTTCGCTCGGGATGTAACAGTAACAATAAATATTAGAAATAGTTTGAATATTTTCGAAATACTCCGTGAACATATTACCAGATACTAGTTCTTGAAAATACAAAGACTTACTACAAATTTTGGAACTTTATAAAAATAGGGGGGGGGGGCATTTCAGGAATTTTTACTTAATATAAAACGATTAAAACTTTTTTTTCCCTTAAAGTTGATTCGAGATCAGAGTGTATTAAAGATATTTTATGAAAATAATTATGTAATCTTTTTTTTATTGACTTGAATAATAAAAAAATTGACTTTTTTTCAGAACTTAAAATAATAAAATATTTTTATAAGCTATTGACTAAAATTTATTTAACATAATTATTATATGTACGCTAATTTTTTAATTGAACAATTTAAGATAGAATATAGTTTTTTCGTATCTGATTTTATTTAAATACACACACGTTAAATACACACTGCAAAAAAAATTATTTGATTCAAATAATCAGTCACTTAACTATTATCAAAAAAATATAATTATTATTATTTGAGTCAATTAAATGGTATTTTTTTCAAATACATAAATTATTATTGATTGTTTGAAACAAATAAATTTTTTTTCAGTGCCTGTAAATTTAACAACACGTATCATTAAAAAACCATATTTTTATCATTTTTAATAAAGTTGTTATTCAATATAATAATTGAAACTTCCAATTAATTGTAAAATTAATTTGACAAATATACAACAGCTGTTTATACCTGATGGTCGAAATATTGTACTTTGATTATTTCTTCCGTTTTTATTTTATCACCTGACGGGCAAAATAATATAATCGCCCTTTTTGCAGATACATACTCGATTTTTTCTTGGACGGGTAAAATAAACTATTTTTCTTATTTCGCTCGTCTTCTAAAACACATTTATTTCAATGGGCAAAATAGTCACTCCGTTTTTTAAAATATATTCTTCTCTGGCGGGCGAAATAAACTATTAATATCATTTCGCCAGTCTTTTCCTGCTATATATTTTTACTAACTGGCGAAATTAACTATTCTTATTTCGCCAGCTAGTCGGCCAAATAGCCACTTATATATTTATATCTCATATTAATCACTTTCTTATTTGTTTTTGTTCTTCTAGAAATACTTAAGAGTTGTGATATAATATTAAAAAAAAACTAAATTTTTTTATACTTTTTCCCTGACTTTTCCATACCAAATAAAATTCTCTGACTTTTACAGGTTTTTAGAAAGTTAATATTTTTTATACATAAAATAAATTTTTGTTATGATAAATAAATAAAACGAATGAAGACCTAAAATAACATTCATTTTACAATTTTTTACTCCTATTCTCAGTAGTTTTTTTTAACATTATCTCCGCTTTTAGTGACATTAACAAAAAAAGTTTTCATAACCACTAATTGTTGATAAACAGAAAACCTAACCAAGAAACCAGTATACAACGTGTGACAACCACTAAACATATATATTTATATGGACTAGACGTAGACTGCGCGCGCCTTTTAAGTTGGTATTTCGTGCTTGACCAGAAATAAGTAAAGAATATTCATATTGCAAATGTCAAATTTTTTTTAACATTATCTCCGCTTTTAGTGACATTAACAAAAAAAGTTTTCATAACCACTAATTGTTGATAAACAGAAAACCTAACCAAGAAACCAGTATACAACGTGTGACAACCACTAAACATATATTTATATGGATCGTGGACTCCCATTGTAAACTGCGTACCGAGAGAGATATTGATCGTTGACTCAGTCTCTCTTTTCCACAAGTTAAATAAAAGAGAGAAGAAGGTAGTCAACGATCATCCATTTCTCTCGGCGCGTAGAAGGATAGTAATATATATACGGAAGTGTGACGTCCGGCGTCTGCTTCTAGTAAAATTTTCTAGGGAACTCGAAAATAAATGAAATGAGTCGAGATATTTCAATCGAAATTTAAAAATTTAGACTCAGATGAAATTTTAAATTATTTAATTTAAACACATTTTCTATTTATTTTTCATTATGAAATATATATATATATACATATAATTGATATTCGTTGTTATTTAACAAAAGAAAATACAAGCTAAATATTTATTGAAAAATCCAATAAATATTATTTGATATTGTTTATAATTAGATAGTAAATCGAGAGGGGAATTTACTCAGGTAGTCAAGTGTACACTCTTCCTGTAATACTTGTGTAATAACGTGTAATACCGTGTAATAATGCGTTATTACAGTGCTGTAATAACGCAAAAAACCATGTAATATCTCTGTAATAATGTGTAATACTCTGTAATAACGTGTAATATGGTGTAATACCGGTAGTCAAGTGTACACGTTTTTAACTAGTAAATTCCCCCTCGTAGGTAGTAAATATTTTTAAATCATGTAAAATTATCGTTAATAATTTTAAATGATATTAAAATGAGCGTAAAAGTATTTTATAATAATATTAATTAAGCGATTAAAATTACATTTATAAAACAATTGTAAATAAATAAACAAAATGTTTATTTATAATTTAAAATTATTGAAAATTGTAATATTTTATCGAGGGGCTTTTCACTCTAGATTACTTATGCGAGTACGTTATTTAATTTGTCAAATATTCTAGACGAATTCAATTGATTTCACTGTACAAAATAAGTGAAATACAGTTGCGCGTAACTTCTGATTTTCAAACTAAGTATTGTAATTAACTTAGAGTAATTACTATAAATATTATATTGTAAATAATTTTAATTAAGTATTGTGAACAATATTCAAACATTCAAAGACGAATAACAATTCTTTAATTGTTATAATAATTAATTATTGAGAATTATCAAATAAATTGCAATTTTATTAAAATTAACAAAACAATAATGCTAATTCTACAATTCAACTGAAAATTATTAAATTTGTTAATTTTTCAATCTTCATACTTTTAAGCGGGTAATAAAGTACAAGAATTCAGTTCATTGACTACAGTGATGGGTTGTGACGCGTCACACGAAGTTTTGTACGTATAATACGTTTTCGACGTAATATACGTATAAAATGTATAAAACCATGTAGAAAACCACTGACATTTTGACATGTATATATGATCCTCTGATTTTTGCCATAACGAATTTTTCTATTCTTTTTTTTAAGAGCTTTGTTATTGTTTATAAAGTTTTGATTTAAAAATTGTTTATTTTGGGAGATACCAAACGACTAGACTGACAATATAATACTTAGAATATAGGTTATGTTATTATGCACGTGGCCCGGTGTTCACTCTTATCTGTGAAACCAACTTAGAAATAAAACCGATATAAAAACATTTCAATAATTAAAAATTTTGTTTTATAATTATTAAAATAATTAATAATTACCTAAATTTTGTTTATATTAACAACTTTCTCTTTCAATAGTGTAAAGTAGTAATGAATGATGTATTTTAATGAAGAATTTAAAATTGCCGCTCTTAAATCTCGTGATCAAATGTAATATACATCGTGTAGAAAACTTGACACGTAATATACGTAGTATTATACACGTAGAAAACCACGTATTATACGTCATGTATTATACGTACCCATCACTGATTGACTATTTCATACGGAAGCCTGTACAGCTCACGAGCGTCTCGGACACAAGTGGCAATATTTCGTACCACAAGTGTCTTCGAGTCCGTCCAACTTGTGGCACGTTTGCGTTAGTTCGTGCCACTTGTTGGACGGGCTCCGAGACACTTGTGGAAAGTGGATTTTTTGAAGGACTATTCACAAAAAAATAAAATAATTTTTAATGAAAAACGATATTATAATGGATTAAAACCAAAATCTATCTTAGAAAAATGCTGCTAAGCAGCATAATTATTTATCAAACATACATGCTAACCACATAAAATATAAATATAAAACAATTTAAAGCAATTATTTGTGTGAATAAACCTTCAAAAAATCCACTTTCCACAAGTGTCTCAGAGTCCGTCCAACAAGTGGCATGAACTAACGCGAACGTGCCACAAGTTGGACGGACTCGAAGACACTTGTGGTACGAAATATTGCCACTTGTGTCCGAGACGCTCGTGAGCTGTACAGGCTTCCGTAATTTCATGGATCTAACGGAAATATAGTTCCTTTAAGTCTAGGACGTGACAGGAAGCTTCTACGCGCCACATCATAACGAGGCGAAATCATACGGAAGCCTGTACGGCTCACGAGCGTCTCGGACGCAAGTGGCGGTGTTTCGTACCACAAGTGGCACGAAGTCCGTCCAACTTGTGGCAAGTTCGTTAGTTCGTGCCACTTGTTGGACAGGCTCCGTGCCACTTGTGGAAAGTGGATTTTTTGAAGGGTCATTCACAAATATGACAATTCCGTTGAATCCTGTTACTATCTATTTTGTCAGTGCTTTTCATTTCAATTTCATGTGAAGAAGAAGAAATGAATTTTATAAGATATTAGTAATATTAGCATATTAGTAAATGTCATCGAACAAACTTTTTATAGTTCACACATAAATACTCCTTCCAAACGTAAATATACATATTAATAAACTACGGATTCCACTAAGAATTAAGCGGAAGTTTTTTCTTAGTTTTTTTAATTTTTCTTAGTTTAGAATAAAAATAAGATTTTTTGGTTATGTTGTCATTTTTTAATTTAAAATACATGAAGAGGATTTTATTTTTTAAAATTAAAAGTACATTTTTATGAATATTTAAGAGTAATAAAGATGTCAATATCATTTGTTTACACTGAAATGTAATCTTTTACATATATTTTCAATTAAAAAATAACAAATTCATTTTTATTCAAAAACATTAAACGGACTTGCCCGGATGAAATTATACTTGAAATGAAAAGCACTGACGAAATAGACGGCAACAGAATCCAACGGAATTGTCATTTTTGTGAATGACCCTTCAAAAAATCCACTTTCCACAAGTGGCACGGAGTCTGTCCAACAAGTGGCACGAACTAACAAACTTGCCACAAGTTGGACGGACTTCGTGCCACTTGTGGTACGAAACACCGCCACTTGCGTCCGAGACGCTCGTGAGCCGTACAGGCTTCCGTAAAATCAACTTATTACAGAATCAGCAAAAAGAAATAAAAAGATATCATTCTCTCTTTCACTCACATGGTTTACGTTTTTCGTCGTACGGGTACGGAAGCCTGTACAGCTCACGAGCGTCTCGGACACAAGTGGCAATATTTCGTACCACAAGTGTCTTCGAGTCCGTTTAACTTGTGGCACGTTTGCGTTAGTTCGTGCCACTTGTTGGACGGGCTCCGAGACACTTGTGGAAAGTGGATTTTTTGAAGGACTATTCACAAAAAAATAAAATAATTTTTAATGAAAAACGATATTATAATGGATTAAAACCAAAATCTATCTTAGAAAAATGCTGCTAAGCAGCATAATTATTTATCAAACATACATGCTAACCACATAAAATATAAATATAAAACAATTTAAAGCAATTATTTGTGTGAATAAACCTTCAAAAAATCCACTTTCCACAAGTGTCTCAGAGTCCGTCCAACAAGTGGCATGAACTAACGCGAACGTGCCACAAGTTGGACGGACTCGAAGACACTTGTGGTACGAAATATTGCCACTTGTGTCCGAGACGGTCGTGAGCTGTACAGGCTTCCGTATACGGGTCCTTGAATTTTGTCCATGTCGATGAAAAAAGTTATTGTAGAAGCAGCTTAACAAATAACTAGAAGCAGACGCCACAAGCAGACCGTTTCGCACATTGACAACTGTTGATAACTGTATACTCATGCCCCTGACCATGCTCTTGGTGTTTTGTTCCTGAGTGTTATTGTGCAGTGTTTATTTCTCTGTTAACTCCACAGTGATTAGGTATTTTACATTTTATTGTACATATACTACCAATGTAAAAATTGACAATTCCCACAAAACTAATGCCTTTTCGTTACGATAAGAAATAAAAAAAAGACTTGAAACGTCAAACGATTGTTGAACTGTCAAAAAACTAAAGATTTTATGTTTAAAACAATTCTTGCATTTCTTAAAGTCATTGTAAAAAGAGATAATAAGCATTATTACAGATTAGTGTTTCTGCTAAACAAACTTTAATTGCTTAAAAAAGTTAAATATAATTTTCATCTTAATTTCCTGGTTTTACTTTGGAACAAAGGTTATATATGAGGCATTTTACGTGTAATGTCCTAAGTTGAAAAATTGATTTTTAGAAAAAAATGGAAACTTTGGGAAATTGTTGTCCTACCTGATAGTAAAATATCCCCAAAAAAATTTTTGACTTTTTTGAAATTTTGAGGGAGATAGGGGGGGGGGGTCAATTATATCAGTTTTCCCTGACACCGCTTACTATTTCAATTTTTGCTGTCTATAAATGCAATAAAAAAAATTTCGGCAGCTATGTTTTTCAAAGGTTTTTTCATGCTCTTTCCCATCGTGAATTTTGTTTTTAAAAATTTTTGAATTTTAAACTTGATTTTCTATAATTAAACATAAATTTACTATTTTCTCAAAATCGGTCCGTTTTTTTTAAATTTAAATAAATAATTAACTTATACACTGGCGCGCGCCGACATAAAATCTTTGATATTTAATATCTCGAGAACAAACAAAATCGGCATTCTGAAAATTTATATACAGATCGGAGAAAACCTCAGCTTTCGTTTGCAATTATTTATTTAAATTTAAAAAAACGGACCGATTTTGAGAAAATAGCAAATTTATGTTTAATTATAGACAATCAAGGTTAAAATTCAAAAATTTTTTAAAACAAAATTCACCATTGGAAAGAGCATGAAAAAACCTTTGAAAAACATAGCTGCCGAAATTTTTTTTATTGCATTTATAGACAGCAAAAATTGAAATAGTAAGCGGTGTCAGGGAAAACTGATATAATTGACCCCCCCCCCCCCCTATCTCCCTCAAAATTTCAAAAAAGTCAAAAATTTTTTTGGGGATATTTTACTATCAGGTAGGACAACAATTTCCCCAAGTTTCCATTTTTTTCGTGAAATCAATTTTTCAACTTAGGACATTACACGTAAAATGCCTCATATTAAACATTATTTTAAAAATATTTATGAGAATTAATGTATCAAATTTAACTTGTTTTACTCAATTTATTAATTATATAATAATAAAATGCTTGGTCTGTCCTTCTGTCCTAACTTGAAGTTGGCCTTTTCTGATTTCACGTGTTTTTTTGAATAGTAATCTTATGACGTGTCAAATTTTGACAATTCTTTTTCTCATTTTTGCCAAAGTTGTATAATTGTGTTTCCAAATTTCGGAATAAGTTTCTTTAAAATTCCAAATTCGAAAATTCAATTCACGAAACTGAAGTACACAACGTTTACCAACGAAATTTTTTTTAAAGTTGTATATTGATTCAAAAATTGTATACAAATACAAAAAATTTATGATGAGAAAAAAGATGCGCCAGGAAATTTCGTACAAGATAGTAATTTGAAAAAAATTTATTTTTAAAAATTAATTTTTAAGGTACCAGGGGCCAACGAATACCTATTAAATATTAATTATAAAAACACAGGCCTCGAATGAACTTAAAGACACAAAAAAGTCGTTTTAGTCGATTTATATTCCAAAAAAAAGTGAATTTGTTTTTTATTTTAACAAAAATATTTTACAGATTTTTAAATAAAAATTTTTTTTTTAATAATAATCCTTTTCGAAGGGTTAAAGTTGAAATTTTTAGAAATAATTAAATTTCAAAAGATATTGTTATTTGATTGATTTTAATTTTAATTTTAATTTTTGAAAATAATTCAATTTTATTTGATTTTGAATTGATTTATGATTTTGATTTAAAAATTTTTGGTAATTTTATTTGATATTTTTTTTAAATTATAAATAATTGTTAAATTTTATAAAAATTTTAATTGAAAAATAATTTAAAATAATTGAATTTGTGATGAATTTCATTAAAACTATTAAAAATAATTAATTTAGTGAAGAATTTTAGTTAAAAATTTGTTAAATAATTAAAATAAAAAAGATATGAAGAAGATCTGCATTTTATACCAAAAAAGAAATATATTTTATTTAAAAAAATTTTTTTAAAAATGTAAAAAAAAGTCGAAGTAGTCGCATTTTATTAAAATAAGTCTAAATAAGTCGTATTTTTGAAAAAAAGTCGGAAATAGTCGAAAAAGTCGTATAATCCGAGGCCTGCTTTCAGATAGTTGAAATTTCAAAGAATATTATTAAAATAGTTAAAAATAATTGAATTTCCTTAGAGTTATAATTGAAATTATTAAATTTCAATAAAAAAATTTTCGATGGAAAATTTTAGAAATAATTAAATTTTAGATGCTTTTAAATTAAAATTATTGAAAATTCAATTAATTTTGAATTCAAATTTTTGAGAATAATGAAATTTTATTTGATTTTAAATTTGGAAAATAATTGAATTTCAGTTCATTTTGAATTGAAAATTTTGGGAAATAATTGAATTTTAATTGAAATTTTGGATAATAATTTAATTTAAGTTCATTTTTGATTGAAAATTTGGATAATTAATTTTGAATAGAAATTTTAGAAAATAATTGAATTTTATTTCATTTTAAATTGAAAAGTTGGTAAATAATTAAATTTTAAATTGAAAATTTTTTATAATTATTGGATTTTTAATTAATTTTGAATTAAAATTTCGGGTAGTAATTGAATTTTAGTTTATTCTGAATTGAAATTTTAAAAAAATAATTCAATTTTATTGTGATATTTTTTTTTAAATTTTAAACAATTGTTAAATTTCATAAAAATTTTAATTGAAAAATAATTTTGATATAATTGTATTTGTGATGTATTTCATTAAAATTATTAAAAATAATTAATTTAGTGAAGGATCATTTTAGTTCAAAATTAGTTAAATAATTGAATTGAAGAAGATCTGAAGAAGATCTACATTTTATACTAAAAAAAATGTATTTTATTTACATTTTTTTCAAATGTAAAAAAAATGTCGCATTTTATTAAAATATGTCGATAAAAGTCGTATTTTTGAAAAAAGTCGGAAAAAGTCGTATAATCCGAGGCCTGTAAACATATAATTTTCATTATTATCATTTAATATGTAATAATATTCTATTAAATTAAATTATTATTGATAATATTAATCTTTAATTTCTTTATAACAAACAATTAAACACTCAATTTGGCACGCTTGCGCGCGTTTAATTTTGCTAGTTTAATAATAAAATTGGTAATACTAATTATATGAATTTTTTTGTGCAGTTTATTGATTCGGATTAATTATGGGAAGCGCGGATACAATACCAGTTGCTAAAAAATGTGTAAATGAAAATGATATTAATGAAGAGTACGGACAAAACTTAAAATTGCTCCCATGTAATGATCAAGTCAAGGAGTTACAAACAATTTTACGTGATAAGTGGGTATAGTTTAAACAGTGTATAAAGGATTATTAGTTGTCAATAGTATTTTTAAACAGTTTTTATGAAATGAAAATTTTTGTTCTATTATTTTCAGAAATACTTCAAGAAGTGACTTTAAATTCTACGCAGACAGATTGGTAATTAAATATTTTTCCTAAACCATAATAACTTTTTCATTGCTATCAAAAATTAAAAATTATTTGATTAATTTACCTAAAAGATTAATTTTTTGAAAACTTATAAAACACTTTTGAGTCTTATTCTAATCTTTTTTAATAAAAATAATGAACAAAGTTTATAAAATGCATAACAATTCAAAATTTTTCAAAAATTAAATTATCGCCTGGGTCAAACCATTATATTTCAACTAAAGTCGTTGCTGACTAATTTTGCTTTGAAGTCCTTTCGTTTATAAAAATTTTCAAAGTGGCAGAAACAAATTTTTTTCTATATAGAAACATGTTATATGAGATCCTGATCAATTGTCCGGATGCATGTATGTATGAGTGTGTGGATCCCTTTTTTGTTTATACGGTAACTTTAACAGGTTTTAAAAAATTATTTAGATTTAGATAAAATTTTGTAGGCTTATTTATCATATTAATGTCTCAAAATTGACGAAAGGATTTTAAAAAATACCCAAAAAAAATTTTATCGTCTTTTTTCTAAAATTTTTTTTAATTGGAAAGATTTATAAATAGCAAAATTTAAGGTGATATATAATAAAATCGTCTTCCTTACGTCAGGACAAATCGATTGGTATATATGTCGTAGGCCGATAGACATTTCAGGCCGTTAGCCAAAATCCTGGCTTATATTCTAATGGCGGGCCAGTAGAATACTGCGCTAATGGGCTACTAGACTGACATTCTTCAGGCCGTTAGAAGAAACTCTGTTTACATTATAATTCAACACACGTTAATTAATATAAATATTAGTAATTGCCTAATGAGGAAACGAGGTAGGTATTGTTCTTACATTTACCAAAGAGAATAATTTTGAAAATAAGTTTTAGTTTTCAAATAACTTTTGTTTAATTCAGTCACAATATGACCGAAAATATTGTAAATCGTGGCGAATTTGAAGCTAAATTGTTCAGCTTTTATGACAAAAATGCAGCAAGTAATAGGTCAGTGTGGAATAAAATGCACGAGTTAAATGTTATTACATCTCTTATAGAATGTGAAGAAAAAAAAAACAAAAAAAGTCATCATTATTACTATTCGAAATTGTATGAACTGTTTAAATCGGAAGTGAAATGCGCGTAAATACCATTACTGAATACAATTCGAATATACAATTGAAAAGGAAAACAGAAGTAATAAGCTTTCATTTTGATTTATTTTACCAGGCAGAATATTCTGCTAATATAGAATTTTAAGAAATTCGAATTTTTAAATGTCATAATTTTCAATTTAATGAATTTTCAATTTCCGAAAATTAAAATGGCTGAACAAACAATCGACAAAAAGATTTATTTATTATCAATTATTAATAATAATTATCTTTATTATTATTTTTATTATGCTGAAAGTTTGATTTATTTTTAGCGTTTACGAGACTCAACCTTCTATTTCGGAAGTCTGTGGTGAAGATGATGAGGCAAGTTCTTCAGAAGCTTCTGGTATTAATGCAGTCCTAAATTCTATTCCTCCAAAATGTTCAATTTGTCAAATGAACATTGAAAATGATCACGGGAATCCATTGACAAATGATGAGCAAGATTTGATTTGTTCATTATGTGTCTTTAGCTGTACCGACTGTCGATCGCGGCCCTTTAGATTTTAATAATATTCTTGGTGTCATAACTGACTTTAAAAATAACGTGTATCAAATTGGTACAAAGCACGGTTTTATAAAAGGATGGTTTCCCAGAACTGATATAAGAAGTGTAGAAACTACGGTTTTATTAATAAATGACGTGCCCATGGGTGAATATTTAAGTTTACGAGAAGCTGCATCTCTGCAGTCCCTAAGTGGAGGTACAAAAAATGCAATTGCAAAATTAATGAACATCAGTGCAGAACGAGAAGATATGCTTGTTTTAAGGCAAATATTCTGTGCAACTCACGATGCCATTTGAGTTCTTCGTGTTGCAATAAATAAAATTTAAAATAAAAAAAGAAATTTGAACATGAAATCGTTAAATTAATATTGTTTCCTATAAATTGTTTCTTTTAATGACCTAAAAATTGTCAGACTAGTAGCCATCCAGCAAATTATTCGGCTAATGGCCTATGCTATTGTCTACTGGCCGGCTTTTAGAATATAAGCCAGGATTTTGGCTAACGGCCTGAAATATCTATCGGCCTACGACATATATAAAGTATAGTTTTGATTTAAATTCAAAGAATTAATGAAAATTAAAAAATCTATAATTCACATTTTAGCTATAAATTTTGTGATTATTTAAATTTAAGTTTATATATGAAATAATTGTATTCCTTGCATTAAAACGAATCGATTGGTATATGGGTCATTCTCACAAAAAGTACAAATGACACGTTGTTTAAAGTTAAATAAAATTAAGAAAAGCTAAATTTCAAGTACTTGAGCGAAAAATACTTTCCCACGATATTTGATGTATTTGTCATTATGTTTTCGGAAACTTTCTAATTTTTTTTTATGTTTTTCAATATCTGGAAACCATGTGTTGGCCAGCGTCGAGTCTACCCGTTTACGACATTGCCTGCGTTCTACCCTGGCCAGCGGATCTCGCCCGTTAGTAAATAACAAGATCCTTTTTTGTGAAAAAAACATACCAATTTTGACATTTCGGTAAAGGACAAGACCCTTTCCGCACAGCCCTGAGAAAAGTCACTACGATAGTCAACTCAAAATTCTAACGAACCTTTCATGTGTTAATAAAAGAAGTCAAATCTCTTTATCTCTTTTCGACAGTCTGGACTAGATTAATTCCGCGTCCGCAAGATCAAACGATCACTCTTCCTTGCAAGCTTTCTTAGAAAATACGCATCCTTGCAAGGAAACCTCTTGCGGACCCTCCAAATTGTCCCTTTCAGTAATCAGAACTCTCTTTTCAGTAAATTGTGTACATTCTCTTTTTTTCTTTTTGTTATAAAAACGACGTTCGTGTGAATACTATCAATTAGTACAAAAAAAGAAGACATTGTAAATTGATTAAATAAACTAAAGTGAATGTGAATTTTGTGGTTTTTAATGTCAATTGTAACACGTAACCTTTTACTTCTAATTAACAGAGATAATAATAATCATTTAAGTGCGAGTTTTACATTGTGTGTTGTTCTTAACACACGTTCATGACATTATTTTTAATAAATAATTATAATAATTGAAAATGTTGCGAGCCTAACTATAGAAGTCAACAGGATTTAATAAAATTTAAAAAGAATTTTAAAATTTCAAATAATTGAATATAATCATGTTTATACAGTGTAAAAACTCCCCTCCGTTACCGTTCGCGAAGTAAGTTTTATTTACAGAATTATTGCATTCATACTGCAATAATTATTTATTTTTTCCTAGAATTAAATCAGTTTTGTTCGCAAAGTAAACTCCCCTCCGTGACCACTATAAATTCAGTTTTTTGATAAATAAATAATAAATATTATTAATAATTTTTAGAATATTCTTTTACTTTTATGAAATATCGCAAATACTATTATTACTTTTTTTGTAAAATTTATTATTTTTATATTAGAATCAATAAATTTTGGCTGCGCCTAAAGGATGAAAACTCCCCTCCGTGATCGCCAGTCACATCCATCGATTATGAAGCCCCATGCAAAAAATGCACATTTTCCGTACCTCGAATTATGAAACTATCTTTATGCCAAATGGTAACATATTGGGAACGGTGGTCTAGTAACAATCTAGTAACTTTGACCCATTCTCTCCCTCCATTTTGTTTTTTTTACTCTTTCTAACCTATTAATTGAAGAGAGACAAAGAAAGAAAATGGAGGGAGAGAATGGGTCCCCACCAGATGGCGTATTGCAGTTTAGCCGATCCCAATGATGACCCAATAATCCCTGCAAAATTTCAAGATGAACATATGCCCCCTTTCGGAAATACAGGGGGTCAAAGGGGTACATGTCAAAAAAATAACATGTAATATTATCGAATAATAAAGTTAAAAAAAATCAAACGAAATGGTTCCTTCAAGATTTTCGTCTGCTGATTACAAATTTGAAGTCCGTTTTCAAAAATTCAAAATGGATCCAATATGGCGGACAACAATTTTAAAAATCGATCCAATTGACCTGGAACTGGTTACTCGGGGGTTTTTGGGGTCGCTGATTACAAATATAACATTCGTTTTTAAAAATTAAAAATGGCGGATCCAATATGGCGGTCGACAAGATTAAAAATCCATCCAATTTACTTAAAAATGGTTACTCGGGGGTTTATGGGGTCTCTGATTGCGAATCTAGGGTCCGGTTTTAAAAATTCAAAATGGCGGATCCCATATGGCGGTCGACAGTTTTAAAAATCCATCCAATTTACATGAAAATGGTTACTCGGGAGTTTTTGGGGTCGCTGATTACGAATCTAAGATCCGTTTTTTCAAAATTCAAAATGGCGGACGACAATTTCAAAAATCAATCCAATTTACTTGAAAATGGTTACTCGGGTTACCTTCAGATTTGTGTTCACCGACCTCGAAAACCCCTAATTAACGATTTTGAAACCATTTTGGATCCGTCATTTTGAGTTTTTTAAAATTGATTCTTGAATTTTTAAAAACTGAACTTAAATTCGTAATCAGCGACTCCAAAAACCTACGAGTAACCATTTTCCAATTAATGGGATTGATTTTTGAAATTTTCGTCCGCCATATTGGATCCGCCATTTTTAATTTTGAAAAACTAACACCGGATTCGTGTTCAGCGACCCCGAAAACCCTCGAGTAAAAAGATTTAAACGGATTCGCTCATTGTATCGGCGACAAAATATTAAACAATTATTTTTAAACAATAATGTTTATAAAGATCGTAACGACGTATTTCAGCATTTGTCCTTTTCGAGAGATTCACCCATATATAAAGTATACATTTCAGTTAAATTTAATAAATTAATGAAAGTTAAAAAATCAAAAATTCACATTTTAGCTGAAAAATTTTGTATTTATTTAAATTCAAGTTTAAATATAAAATAATTGTGTTCCTTGCATTGAAACGAATCGATTGGTATATGTAAAGTATACATTTGAGTAAAATTTAAAAAAGTAATGAAAGTTAAAAAATCAATAATTCACATTTTGGCTATAAAATTTTGCGTTTTAATTAAATTTATTTTTTATTATTATTTATTATTATTATTATTATTTATTTTTTATGAATTTTTAATCATAATCTCCAAAAAATTTTTAGTGACGTATTTTTTTGATAAATTTATCTGGATAATTGTTTAATCTTAAATTTTTTGACCAAATCAATGTTCTTTTTATAACACCTTGCGTCAGAAACTTGACTAAATTGCTGTCTTTTACGCCTTAGTGTTTAAAAGGAGGGGAAATCATACTTTTATGCACACTTTTCCCTTCCATCACAGTAATTTAGTCGAGTTTTTGACGCAAAATGTTATAAAAAATTATGTATGGGAAATGGGCGCAAATAGGGGAATCGAGACTCGCGTGATAGTCAAACTCACTTTTGCGCCCTTGCCACATAAATAACTATTTTGAGAAAATATTCATCAGAAAGAATAATTGCAGTATCAGTGAGATTTTTAATTATTGCAATTTTGGACACAACTGGATGGTTAGAATTTAAAAGCCTACCCGAATAAGTGTTATTCCTGCACCAATCTGTGATGATATTATTGTCTTTAGTTCTTATGATCTTTAAATTCAGGAAAATAATTTCACTATCACATTCTAATTCATGAGTGAATTGTAATCTATTATGAAAGGAATTGAAGGCATCAAGAGTCACTGAGATTTTATTTTTTGGAACATATAAAAACATCATCAACGTATCTTCTATAAAAAATAACCTCGAAATCTAAATTGTTTATAATATTTTCCTCCAAATCTTGCATAACTATGTCAGCTAAGATGAGAGAAATGGAAGAACCCATCGAAGTACCAAATTTTTGTCTATAATATTTATTGTTAAATTGGAAATACATGTTATTCATAATGAATACTGTGCAATTTTATATTGTTTTTATTTCAATTTTGTTTTTATTTAATTTAACACCAAAATGACTGTTTAACTCTATGACTTGACATCTGTTTTAATTTGGTAAAATTATTGAAATTTAATTTATTATTGTAGTTTATTTTATTTTTATTATTTATTGTATTTGTTTATTGATATTTTATTGTAATTTGATAGATTCCCAGAAGAGGAAATCATTTAGATTTCGAAACATTGGAGTAAACTTTGGTTAAAACAACAATGGTCCGAATGTTATCGTTTTATTTATACGAAACCTTCTAATTAATATACTTCTCGGACATTAAAACATTTTTATTAAAATTTTTACATTATTATTATGGGTAATGAACTCATAAAATCATCAAATTTCACATATATTAAAACTAGATTTTTTAAAATATAGTCGCAACGATTTTCAGACGAAAGTAAGTGAACTGACCCGTAGTATACATTTTTATTTCCCAATTGCATTGTGGGTAGAATCAATTATATCTCTATCTATTAGACTCTTTCTTATCTAAATATTGTTAATTTTAAAAGTTGAATTACTCTTAAAACGTTTTAATAGTTCTAAATTAATGAACATTTTTATTTTACCTTTCTTATAGATAAGGTTAGTAATCGAAGAAAGTTTAAATCAGTTACCTTTCTCAAAATGCGTAATTACCACACCAACTGGTGCAAAATACAAAGGACTTAAGTACCAAAAAGGAAATTGTGGCGTTTCTATAGTGAGAAGTGGTGAAGCAATGGAGCAGGTATAGCAAGCTATAAATAATTAATTTTGAATTTGCAGTAAAACTAGTAAAAAAATAACTTTATTTTGATTCAGAAACCACAATAGAATTATCAGATAGATTTTCATCGATAAGCACGAATCTGGTTTTGAAATGTGTTTATTATATTCGATAAAATAAATAAACATCGATATTAATTAATATGCAATACAATGTGTAAATTATTTTTGGCAACTGATTCAAAATTAAAGTTAACAGGGTATACCTAAGTTCTAATTTTTTTTTTTAAAGGGTCTTCGAGATTGTTGCCGCAGTATAAGGATTGGTAAAATATTAGTTGAAAGTGACATGGATACACATGAAGCTAGAGTAGTGTACGCCAAATTTCCGGACGATATTTCTGATAGAAAAGTTTTGCTAATGTACCCTATAATGAGTTTGTATTTAAAAATTGCTTATATATTTTAATGTACAATTATATTTTATTTCATAATACAAAGGGTGCCTACTATTTTTGTCTGTTTTACCCGTTTCATTACGTTTTAATTCCGTTTTGCACTTAGTATTTTAGAATTTACAAGGACTAACAAGGACTACTATCTCCTTTTAAGGTAATATTACACTTTACACTGTCAAAAAAATCGATTTTCTTTTGTATTTTCCTGTTTCAAATCATTTTGGAAATATAATCCCAAAATATTAAATCAAAATTCGACGAAATAAAAAAGTTGCAGAACAAAATGTAGCGCAATGTATTCACGCGCACAGCGCCAGTTTTGCGTTTTTTATTTAAAAAAACAAGTATAATTTGTTTACTTAAAAATTTATAAAATTTTCTTATGCACCATTCGAAAGAGCGGTTTTTGGCACATAAGAAATGGCTATTGAAAACTTCTTTTACAGAGTTTAATTGCGAAAATGCAGCGTCAAACTTTGATAAAAAATTGTACATTTGGGAGTTAAAACTTTAAACGCGTTTTTCTCGAAACGATGTTTTTGAAACTGGCGGACAGCATAACTCGGGTTCTATTTATCAAAAAAAGAAATACCATTTTCTTCGTAATTAAAGTCTGCAGGCATTATGCCTTTATTCTTTAAATAAAGTAATTAACGAGAAAAAAATTTTTGTTTGAACCCTTTTTTTACTGCTTCTAAAGTGTAATACTACCTTAATTCTCCTCAAACTAAATGAATGTTTAATTTGTTGATATTATTGTAATAAGAATTCTTTATGTTTTGTCACAATAGTGTACCCTTTGTATTATTTTATTAATTATGCCATTACAAGAATGATATTTAATACTAAATTATTTTTATTCTTTAGGTACTGGTAATACTGTAATTAAAGCCATAGCTGTCTTAAAAGAACACAATGTGAAAGAAGACAACATAATACTTTCTAATTTATTTTGCACACCTTTTGCAGCAAAAAGTCTGGTTACTGCATTTCCACAGGTAGAATGTTTTTGATTAAATTAATACATATATGAAGGAGAATATTTTTATTTTTAGAGATTTTTTCTCCTAAATATGAAGCATTCTCTCAGAAAAAATCCACCCCAAATTTTAAGTTTTTGGATCGGTTTAATATGGTAAATTGTTGTTCGATATTAAAGTAACAAATCCCTAATTTAAAAAAAATAGAAAGTAGTGGGGGTTGAAATTTTGACATTTTAAGAAACATTGTTACTTTTAAATTCATATAAGTGTGATAAAATTTTATGGCTTTTAATAAAATTTGAATTTATCACTCGGTAAAATAATAAATATTGTATAAAAATTTTCAAACACTCATAGTCAATAAAAACAGTTCTTTAATGTTTCGGCAGTCAAGTAACTTTGTTATACTTTTGCAATAAGTAGTTTCGAAAGAGAAATTTCTAAACTTTATTATTTTAACAGAATTTTTTTAAAAATATTTAATTAGTAAAAAATATTTAATTTGAAGGTTAAACTTCTAATTATCTCAAAACACGTTGTCTCCGATTTTTACAAAATTTATTTGTCTAATTTATTTCTGTTCCTTATAGGTAGTTTGTCCCTTTCACCTGTGTCTGTAAGTTCATATAGGTATAAAAAAAATGTAAAACATGTAAATATGTCCATGTAAAATACCAAAGACTGATAAATTGAAAGATTTAATAATAATAATTTAGTTTATAATTACATAAATGAATTTGTTTCATATAATTATGAAATAATAATTTCTTAAAAATAGTTTAATTACAACAATAAATAATTTTATACAATTTTTATTTTTCCAGATGAAGATACTTACATCAGAAATTCACTACATAGCGCCAAATCATTTCGGACAAAAGTATTTTGGTACAGATTAATTTAAATTAGTATAAAATATATTATTAAGAAAAAAAGAACAGACTATCGTAAGTGAATCTTCTAAGAACATGAAAAAAAGCCTTGAAAAACGTGAAATAAAAAAGAAAATAATTTTACAAAATGCAATGATTTAATTTTTATTGAATAATTATTTCATTTAATTATATAGAGAAGAATATAAGACTTTTTTATAATCCTTTATAAAATCACAAATTTTTTGTTCTATAACAATCGTTATAACGATTATTTGTAAACAGAATTTTTAGAAAATATGAAAATGTCATGAGGGATCGTCAATAAATTACGTCTCACCTTAAGGGGGAGGGGGGATCAAGCAATTTGTGACAACCAGCAGAAAAAATGGCGCTAATGTATGCAAAAAGTGTGACATGGGGAGGAGGGGGGGTCTAAAATAGTCGAAAATAGTGTGACGTAATTTATGGACGGCCCCTGACTAGTTTTCTAATGCCGGCTTACACTGTAAAAAATATTTCTTGTAACATTACCACTTTCTACGTAGGTCCAAAATCTTACCTAATATGAAAGTGGCATAAGTAGATAAAACAGTATAACAGTATCTAGAATGGGGAATTTTACTTTTAGAATTTGTAAATTTACATCTCGTAGTGTAAAAGTACACCACACGGTAATTTTAAAGATTAAACACTCAAAAATATTCATGGTAAATTTGACTAAATTTTAACTATTTCTTCTAGTTCCAGGAAGCACCCTATTAACAAAAAGTAGTTGAGACAACTATGTAAAAACGGTTAAATCAACTGTAAAATTTAGTAAAAAAAACTATTCAAAGTAGTAAAATTATTTTTATTAATATTAGTATTGAGATTCATTTTTTCACCCTCTTCCCTACTACTTTCGTTTATATATGTCTTATATTATTTAATTTTTGTATACCTAACAAAGAAAAATCCCTAAACGCTGGGGATTGAACGCACGACCCTAACATTCGCAACCCGACAACTTAATCATCTAACCACGCACTTTTTTTTTTTTTTAAATAATAGTTCTTTATTAGAAAATAACAATTTTTGTTTACATGGCAATGTAGAACGTATTAAATACATAGCGAGTCTCTTATAGCAATCACGCAATCTAAAACCATCGGCAATCAAGGATTGCTCTCGCGGTTCATATATATTACTGTCAATACGAGCTTTTACTTTTTGTCTTTTTTTTAGGCAATACTTGGCCCATCGGTTAAGTATCGCTTCCATTTTTTTGTTGATGTAATAATATAACAATTTATATGCTTAAAGAAATTAACACCGATCCTCACGAATTGTTGTGTCTTTTTCCAACTAAATAACATAACAACATAACAATAACAACGTGTGCGTTGCGCACAAAACAATCAAAAAAAATCAAAAATGTAAAAAAAAAACAATGAATTATCAAGACATTATTACAAATAAATAAATAAAACAAGAGAAAACAAAAAACAAAACATAATAAAAAAATAAAAGGGAAACCAATGTCACAATGTGAACAATAATATAAGACGATTATGATACCTTTATTTAGATATGTCCATTTAATGGCTTTCCTAAACGACTGATCACTATTTTACTTCTTCAATCAATCATGCTATTTACAATGTCCGTTAACTTTCACTCTTCACACACCTAACAACAATATAAGAATTCTTACACTCATTCCGCACACAATATAATCTAGATTTCGTTTTATTCTACTATCTTAGCCATGGATATTTAACCGTGTTATATTGCGATCGATCGCAGATATCTCTCATCGGGAGGGAAGTCGATAATACCATAGTGTCGGAGGGTAGTTCTTTTAATACGTCTTTGTCAATTGTCAGTTTTTTGTCATACTTGTGTCTTTTTATGTGATAAATTATAGGTACGTTTGTGTCACTCTGGTTTTTTCCAAGCTGGACCAGTCTGGGGAATGCACCGGGAGGCAGGAACCCTTTCACCCTCATCCCATCAATGATATCCAATCTCGTCATATAAGGTTCTTTTATAAGGGGATTTATGTCATTTTTTAGAGCTTGGCTTATATGGTTCCTCGTCAATTTTATAATGAAATTGTCAATTCTAGGGATGTTAGCTTCATTATATATTTTTTTGTTGGATAACATTGTTTTGTAGTTGGTTCCAGGGTCCCTATGTCTACCCAGGCACGCCCTGATGCAGGTTCTTTCAAAAATTCTCAAATCTTCCATTACATGAGGAGAGATGTTATACCAGACCATGCATGCATACGTCAGAATGGGTCTAATCAATGTAATATAGCATAAAAGTTTTACTTTTGAGTCTAGTTTTCTAGAATAAAATAAGCCCTTTAATGAATAAAATGCTTTTTTGGCTTTTTCAATAGAATTTTCAACGTGACTAGTGTAATTTAATTTGTTATCTATAATCATTCCCAGGTATTTTACTTTATATTTGTGAGTAAGTTTATTCTTTTCTACGGTATTATCGACTATTTTAAATGTTTTCTCTCTATTGGTATTTGCGCTTCTTTTTTTCAGTAAATTCATATTTGGTCTGAAAAAGATAGTTTCACATTTGTCAATATTAGGGGAAAGACGCCATGTGTCAAAATAGTTTAAAATATTGTGAAACAATCCTTGTAATTTATTTTCTGTATCTTTTATTAACGCGCCTTCCACATATATGATTAGGTCGTCCGCGAAACTGATACCTCTTGCTTCTTTGCTCTTATTTATATCGTACATATTCATTAATTCTGCTGTATATATGTTGAAGAGAATTGGCGAATTAACCGCACCTTGTTGCAGGCCCTCCAGCAAATCAAACTGCAGGTCGGATATAAAATTTCCCTCTTTAATTTTTAATTTTCTTCCCTTAATTGTGTGCCATATGATTCTGATTAAATGTGGGGGGAAGCCCTTCTTAATTAATTTAAATATTAGCCCATCCAACCAGACTGTGTCAAAGGCCTTCTCGAGGTCCACCAGACAGGCTGCCACTACGTTGCCTTCGAAAAATGCATTGTTTATGTCTGTAGTTAATTTGGTTATTGTGTGCATTGTGGAGATTCTATTTTTAAACCCGAATTGTTCGTTTGGAATTATTTTTTCTTTATTGCAATAATTATTTATTGATTTATTTATAATTATTTTGAATAATTTACTTAAATTCGGCAATAGACTAATTGGCCTGTAACTGGTAGTCCTCGACAAGTCCTTATCCTTTTTCGGCAAGGGTTTGACACATGCTATTTTCCATTTAGGGGGGAAGTAAGCGTTGTTTAACATGTTATTGTACAATATAGTGAGTGATTCAATTAAATTATTGGGAAGTTAATCGCTATATTTGGTATACCGTCTTCGCCCGATGATTTTTTATTTTTTAGTTTTTTTATTATTTTTGACAATATTTCTGGATTACAAAAAAATGTAGGCTCTTTTTCAAAATAAGGGTTTAGTGCCGTGTTAACCTTTGTAAATTTAATCAAGTTGTGTCTTTCTGGATTATCAATAAAGTTTTCTCTTTTAAATTCATTTATTGTGTTAAGTACAATTCTATTTAATCCCTCTTTATTTGTGGATCCTCTCTTTTTATTGTTCGTTTGCGCGAATTGGGCCCCCAATATATTTAATTTACTTTTATGGTCCGAAATTATATAATTGTCATTATTGTGGGAGTTCTTTATTGCTATTATGTATAATTAAATTGGGTATTTCTTTTTTTTTTAGCGGTCTAAATATTGGATTGATTTTGTGGAACAGACCATTGTTTTCCTTCAAGGATATACTTTCTATTTTTTTTGTCCAAAATTGGTTAGTTGATTTCTTAAATAAATTTTTAATTTTTTTCTTTATTAGGGACATTAGATTTTTGCATTTATTTAGTATTTCATTTGAATGACTATTATTGTTAATATTTATTGCTTTTTTAGTGTTGTGTATGATAGTTAATAATTTGTTTTTAATTTTTTGCAATTTGATAATTTTAGGGTTTGTATATCGGTTTATTGAATCGAAATCTTTATTTATGGGAGTACTTTCCTTTAACGTGGAAAACATGGCATTCTCCACTCTGTCAATCCAATTATCTATTTCACTATTTGTTAAGTTTACTGTATGCGGGATATTTATTTTTTGATCCATTTTTGTTAATTTATTATGGTATATGTCCCATTTGGTTTTATTTATATTTATGAAATTTCTGTTTATTGTTTTATCATATAATAAATCATCATCGGGTTGGACTTGCATTCTAAATTTTAATGCGTTGTGATCACTGTCATAGGGGAGTACTGGGAGCTTGTTATTCGTTAAATCGCTTATTTCTAATCTAACATCAAAAAGGCCAAGATCGATATATGACTCTGTACTAGGATAAGTTGGTTCACTTGGACCTATTAAATTGGCTTTATATTTAAAATTATTTTTTGTGTACCACCATTTTAAGTATTTTCCTCTCATATTGCTTATTTTATCCCCCCATAGTTCGTGTCTTGCGTTTAGATCGCCCACTAGCATATATAAATGATTGGCGTGGTCTAGTTTTAATTCCTCGAAGATTTTAGTTAAGTCTTTCGAAAAACAATTTCTCGAGTTACCGGCTGCATATGCCCCTATTATAAATAAATATTTGTTATTGCTAAGTTTTATTTTTATTATTGTCGTTTCAATATTTTTAATAAGGTTTATACATTTTAATTCTACTCTACTATAATTAAATTTTTTTGATAAATATCGCTGTCCCCCCGCTCCTTTGTGAGTCTATTCTACCATTTCTTACTGTTGTGTAGTCTGGGAAGTATATGCTATGACATTGTCTGAGTTTAGTTTCACTTATTATGGCTACATCAATATTATTTTTCTGTAGAGTTTTGTATAAATTGTATCTACGCGAGTTATGAATTAATGAATTAACGTTTATTGCTAGAATTGATAAATCATTTATTCTTTTCTTACTATTTTTATTACTTCCATTCGATTGAGGGGCCATTTTTAATAATTAATTCATAATGGCGAATCCCGTATATTATAATTTTATTTACGTTATCGCGTGGTGACAATATCTATAGTGTGGTTTGATTTTATTTCAAATAGTACTATATTTTATATAATTGGAAACTCCCCCGCGAAAACTCCCGAGTACTCATTTTGGTATACTTAGCTCTAATTATTAAAATTTTGTCCACCATATTAGATTCGCCATTTTGAATTTTCAAAAACTGACCTCGAATTCGTAATCAGCGACCTCGAAAACCCCCGAGTACTCATTTTCGTCAGCTTCGCTTAACTTAGTTTTATACAAAACTGATATAGATCGAAATCACTTGAAAATATACTAAAAGTGAAAAAGTACTTTGTTCAATAAATCTAGTGTAGAATTGTTCTTTTTTTTATCCGATCGAGGTCTATAAAGGCTTAAAAGTTTCGCAATTAAATATACTATTAATAAAAAATTTAAAACCTGCATTTTTTGGTTTTTTGACTTTGAAAAAATTAGCAAAAGTTAGACGAATGTCTAAAAATCATTAAAATTTGCTTGAAATTTGAACTTTGATCGACTGTAACTCTGACAATTTTGAATGGATTTTATTGGTTGACCAATGGTTTGAGAGGTAATTTAATTATGTTTTAAATGTCTAACTCACTTACGCAAACATTTTACACTTTAAACTTTATTTATTTAATAATAACACGTTAATTTATCACAAATACAGCACAAATCTATCACTAAATACTTTTATTAATCAATTCAATTAACCCTTTCCACAGTTTCCACTCAGTTTCTACACAATTTTCACTCCAACTAAATGTTTAACCAATGTGTAACGAATGTACAACGAATTCAGCGTACATTCCGATTTCGAGATCCGCCAGGGGTTGGGAACAGAACGGTCACTAAAAATGTTATTTAAACAATAATATATGATAAAGTATTCATTGGGATATGTAGAAAAAGTGTTCACGAGTAATTTAAGAACTTATTTGTATCAAGTTAATTCGAAATAAGTGAAATAAAAGATAAAATAAGGAGCACTGTTATATTAGGATATTCTGTCAAATTTTTATATAATTCAATAAAAAGTGTTCTAGATATGATTTTTTAATAATAGAAAAACAGTGAAAAAGTATTAATTTATTATTTTGAAGAATTTGAAAGGGTAATAAATAGTGAAAATTAATGTGTTTATTGTGTACTTTTTGCGTGTATCGGACAACGTTTATCGACAGCAAGTTACAGGTTACACTAGTGAACGCTAGATGGCAGCACAGTTAACTATTAATAAGACTTTGACAAGAAAAATATTTAACCCACTGAACGTCGATGATACATCCAGACACAAATAAAACAAGGAGGGGGTCTTTTATGTTTATTTCATAAAGATTTTGCTTCCTCATTGTGTGAAGCAAAAAATTTGCTTCCTCGTGGAGGAAGCTATGAATTTCTCTAATCAATTGATTGATTTAAAACATTTCGAGTTAAAAACTGATTTAAATGAATTAAATTTTTTTAAAAATTAAGAAAATTTTAATTCATTTTGGGTGTAACATATACTTTATATATACGAATCGATTCATTTTAATGCAAGGAATTCAATTATTTTATGTATTAACTTGAATTTAAAAAAACACTAAATTTTTTAGCTAAAACATGAATTATTGATTTTTCAATTTTTATTAATTCTTAAAATTTAAATCAAATCTATACTTTATATATACCAATCGATTCGTTTTAATGCAGGGGAAAAAATAATTCCAATAAATAAACTTGAATTTTAATAAACACAACATTTTTAGCTAAAATGTAAATTTCTGATTTTTTAACTTTCATTAATTCTTTAAATTTTAATCAAATCTATACTTTATATATACTAATCGATTCGTCTTGATGTAAGGAAGACGATTATATTATATATTAGCATAAATTTTTCTATTTAAATAATTTTTCAATTAAAAAAAAATTTTGGAAAAAAGACAATAAAATTTTTTTTTGGGATATTTTTAAAAATCCTCTCGTCATTTTTGAGAGATTAATGTGATAAATAAGCCTACCAAATTTTACCCAAATCTATTAAAACCTGTTAAAGATATCGTGTTCACAAAAACGATCCACACACACACACACACATACATCCGGACAATTGATCAGGATCTCATATAACATGTTTCTATATAGAGGAAAATTCGTTTTCACCATGTTTAAAAATTTTATAAACGAAAGGACTACAAAGCTTCCTCCACTAGGAAGCAAAAAATGCTAAAGACTTATTGAATAGTCAGAAAAAATGTTACTAGGGGGTTTTCGGGGTCACAAATTACAAAATTAATATCCGATTTTTAAAATTCAAAATACGGAATGAAATATAACGAATAGAAGAAAATTAAAACATAATCAAATTCTCCATCAGCTTGTTACTCGGGGGTTTTTAGGTTCGCTAATTACGAATATAATAACAGAATTTCCAAATTCAAATACTGGATCTAATATGGCGTATCAAAAAAGTTAAATATTATTCGAAATCTCTGAAAGCTCGTTACTCGGGGGTTTTTTCAGTTACTGACTACGAATCTGATATTAGATTCTTAAAATTCAAAATGGCGGATCTAATATGACGGATCAAAAAAGTTAAACATTAATCGAATTATCTGGAAGGTCGTTACTAGGGGGTTTTTGAGGTCGCTGATTACAAATCTGATATTAGATTTTCAAAATTCAAAAAAAGGCGGATCAAAAAAATTAAATACTAATCGAATTCTCTAAAAGAATGTTACTCGGGGTGTTTTTTTGGTCACTGATTACGAATCTGATATTAGATTCTCAAAATTCAAAATGTCGGATCAAAAAAATTAAACACTAATCGAATTCTCTGAAAGCTCATTACTCGGGGGTTTTTTCGGTCACTGATTACTATTACTATTACTATTACTTTTAAAGTGACAAATGAGGTATTTTTACTTTGATATACAAAAATGAAAAAAATTGTATTTGTTTCATTTTCAAAGTTTTTTAAATTTACTATTTGGAGTGCGTTTATTTAATTTTAAAAAATGTAAATTTGCACAAAAAAATATAACATCACAATTTTGTGTACTTGTACATTATAGAGTACTTTTGTCGCTTTCAAAGAGGGTCTATTTTCTTACCTACTTGGAAACTCACACAAAAGCAATTTAATCTTGTACTATTACAACGTTCTGTTCTTTTACCACTACGAAAATTGTAAAGTTACAAGTTCGATTGTATTTTTAAATTTAAAAAGTGTATAAATATCTCACTGAAAATAGTAAAATTACATAAATTCTAAAATGTAATTTTACTATTTCAAAATGTAAAATTTTTTTATTTTTTACATTGTAATTAATGTTGCCTTTCAAGTAAAAATTAATTAACAATGTGTTGTATTTTTCAATCACATAATTACATTCAACTATAATTCATATGATTAGGATTCTATTAGTCATTTTAATAGAGTTTTATGTAACATTTAATTATTATCGGAGTGTTCCATGGAGACGGTTACTTTCAAATCTCAGATTTTTTTGCAACTTTAAAAAATTAAAAAATTATTTTGGAAAAAACATATTTGATTTTTTCAAAATTTTACTAAATGTTGGGGCAAATGTGCTAATAAAACAAAATGTCTGACACAAGAGTCATTCTTCTCATGATTCTTTGTACTCAAATATATCGGACTCATTAACTAAATCTCAGAAAGGAATACAAACCACTGACAAAGTTCGTCAGCCATTGTGTACCAAAATAAGAAAATAACCGTGGATACGAGCCTGATATATAACTTTTAAAAAAGTGAAAAGCATCTTTGTTGTTTTGTCACCGAATTCCATGCATAAATTCCAGCAAATAAAAATAGACGATATGTTGGTTTTTTTTGACAAGTATTTTATTTAGTGAAGTAAATTGAATCACAACTGTGCAACACTTATTTTATTTACATACCGAACCTTTTTACCACTTAACATTCACTTGAAAGTCGATTTCAAATTAATCGCAAAAACACGTGTTTGAGATAAGGCCTAAGCAGAATATATTCTTAAACGGGAACGCAATCGTAAACGGAAACGTAAGAATGAGTAAGAGAAGGATAGCAAATATCTTTATTATAAGCAAATCTTTATCCGTTCAAGAATCTATTCTGCTTTAGCCTCTACGTGTTCTATTTTATTTGTTGTCCCTCCAGACACCCATTTTACTAGCCTCCGATGTCACAAGGTAGATCGAGCAGAATGATTTTATGAATTCGACGATTGGATTCTGCAATCCTTTGTTATTGATTTTATTCTATTGAATAAATGCCATACAACTCAAGATGTATCAAAAACGTTTTATAATTTCTTCTCTTAACAAGCATGTGAGAATGAAGCTGAATTATGAGACGTCTGAATTCGTCTCACAAAACGCTCGCAGCGCCACGCAAGCAGTTTTGCATAGGCGTCGCTAGTGGTCAATAACCCAAATGATAAAAGTTATGTTATTCAATAAATTACAGTAAAAATATGATTATTTATCCATTTTAACATAAAAAATATATAAACATACCAACTCTTATATATAAAAAAGAACATAAATTATGACTTTATTTTTAAATTAGTTATCTTAAAGGTTATTCCGAATATAAAAATCAAAATCTACAATACTATTATCATTCTTATAAATAGTTTGCAAATGTTAAATCATTATTATTTGTAAAAAACTTAATTTTAACTACAACCAATAAATTAACAAATTAATGAAAAAACCTCTTAGAATATAAAATAATACTGATTATAAATATAGAGACTAGAAACAATTTTTCACCAAAAAGTCAAACATTAAAACAAAATTATACACAATTAAAATACTCTGAACAAAATTATTATTTTTCTATTGCTTTTTATAAAAAATATCAACATAAAATTACACATTAACCCCTTGATTGTGAGGGTACGTCTATAGACGTACATACAAAAAAATTGATAAAAGGTACAAAAAATAAGTAGATTTACATCACACATACGTTATTTATGGTATTTTCAACGCTGAATCCGAATTTGAAGTCAAATTTTGAAAATTTGAAAACCAAAATCCAATATGGACTAGTAGACTATTTTGAAGGATACTTTTATTACATTAAATCTCAGGCAGCATACATAATCTTATCAAACTAATATCTCATACAATTATATCAAAATGTTTTCAAGGTCGCTGGTTACGAATATGAAGTCAGATTTTAAAAATTCAAAATGGCGGATCCAATATGGCGGATTTGGGTTTGAGTTTCCCGCGTTTGGGAGTTTGGGGTCAGGGAGAAGCAGAAGTCCGGGACGTGGCGCCATCACAGCGGCCACTATTGGAACAAAACGGAGACGAAGGCGATCGATGCGTAAATCAATCAGATTTCAATGGACGCGATCTTAGCAGGGTACAGAGGTAGTGGAAGTCGCAGTTAAATTTGAAGTTTTTCTCGTAGTGTGTAGAAGTGAGTAATTTTTGAGAAGAGTTGTAAAGTCGTCGAGTGGAATCTCGACCTTTATTTTGTAAAGGGATAATAAAGTGAGTAAAAGAAAGTTTTGTTTTGTGTTTGGCCATCTTCTCCATACCGGCGTCTTCCAGACACCAGCTGAGAGGACAGACTAGGGAGGAAATTGTGAGCCGAGTTTCGTCGTGGGTAAGTTCAATTTTGTTGTCGCCGTGTCCCTTTTCTCGACTTGCGTTCTCGACAGAATCTCCTCTGAGATTTATTTTGGTTGATTTTGAGGTTATTTCGTGAATGTTGTGGTTTTCCGGGTTTGCCAATTCCATTCAAAAATTGGCTGGCGTCTGACATTTTTCACGTTGGGTAACACTTTTGTAACATTAAAAAAGGATATTTAATTGACTATTCTTAATTAAATTAATTATTTCGTTATAAAAATTTGCGCCCAACGTGAGGCCTCGTTGGGAAACTTTGAGACACGACAAAATTTTGTGACTATCTCGACCTGATATTTTCGACAGAAAATATTTTGTTGTTTATTTTATTCTCATGTATTGAATTTATTATGTTCCTTTTGTGAAATTATAATTTGCGATGCATAGCGGCCACCAAGTCACGTGTAGAAATTTTTAAAAATTAATTTCTCACACATTTCTCGACAGATTTTGATGAATCGATTTTTCTCGGGATCAGTGAATTTTTCTGGAATTTTGTGCGTGTTTACATTTTGAAAAAATTATTTATTATTAACAATTGCTCCCCACGCGGCCGGCGTATTAATTATACCATACCATGTGATTCGTCGCGCATGCGTGAGTAGAATTAGATTAAAAGTCCATTAGTGGGATTTGTTAAAAAAAATGTTAAGTTAACAAAATTAATCCAGGGCCGTATTATTATCGCGATGGTCATCTTATAAAAAAAATTTATAAGTGGAAATTTTAGTGAGTAAAATTTCCTTTACGACAAGTCAAGTAATTGTTTAATTTTTTTTGTTTACCAGGGCCGTGTCAACGGAACGACGGGCCCTATCAAAATTGAATTGACATTTTACGTGAGAATTTTTAAAGTAGAAAAATTCTCTTAATGACGATCCGATTATAAAATTGAATTTTTACGACTGACTAGTGCCGTGACTAATAGAGAGCGGGACCCCAAAAACTAATTTTCATAAAAAGAAAGAATTAAATTCTGCTACGATTTAAATTAATTTTTTTTGTGTTTTTCGACAATTAAATTTTCAAACGTTCATGATGGCAGAGGCTAATGAACGAATGCACTTTTATGAAGAAAAGATGCGTCACTTGTCCACAATTCCACAAGCGAAAGAATTGTGCCGGGTGATTGCACTTGCCCAGTAGGGCAAGTGGTAAAGAGTCTGTTGGCTAATCAGTTGTGTATTAGTGGCTCGTTGCAGGTTTTGCGAGAGAGACTTTTCCGGGCTGAGTTAAAACTCACGCTTCCTCCAGAATTTGACGTATCCTTTTGCGACGACTATGACAAAGGGAATTCAGATAAAATTTTTCGATTCGAGGCATTCACGGAAGAGTAATTATTGCCCAATGGTGGTTTCAGCGACGATGTCGCCTAGCGTAATAAGCTTGCGACAATCTGTTGCCAGATTTACCTTGAGTCCGGAAATGCAACAGCTGATCCGCATCAATAACCATTTAATGGCGGCTGGTATGGGACAAGATTTGGGGGTAAATAGCAATTTTCACTGGCCAAATCAAAACCCAGTAGAGATCGCAACAGGAGAAGGGGATGATATTACTTCGGTTAGACAGGATCAACTTGGAGGAGAGGGTCTCAACACCATCCCTAACCCAACCCCCCGGACAGTAGGCCAAAACAGGACAGTAAGCGCACATACATAAAGAGAGAAAAGGGTTCAGGAGTAAAGAGCGACAGTAGAGTGAGATCGCAAGTGACGGATTTTTGACTAAGGAAGGGGATCGTCAAGAACATAGGGATTCCAGTTGAAGGCTTACTTCTCGGAGTACTCAGCGGATTGATGCTAGGAGAACACTCTTTGATAATTCTTCCACTGACAATGAGACTGACGTTAGCGACAGGACTCAGAGGCGAAGAGATTATCGTGTAGCTTCTCAATTAACTAAAGTCAATGAGACCTTATAGGATTGGGATATTAAATTCTCTGGTGAGGAGCGAGAAGATCCCGAAGAATTCCTGGAGAGAATTGAAGACTGTCGAGATTGCGCTATGATAAGCGACGAAGATCTCTCCAAACACTTCCTAGTATTTTCAAGGGCAGTGCAAGTAGGTGGTTCCGTACAATCCGCCAAGAAATCAGTTCGTGGAGGTCATTTAAAAATGCTTTTCGACGGGGGTATTTAACGACCATTGATGACGACGAAGTGATAGATGAGATGAGGAGTAGAACTCAAGCGAAAGGGGAGAAAATATCCTCCTACATAACCAGTTTGCGACTCATAATGGGGCATCTTAGGAAACCATTGTCGACCTGGGAACAGGTTAAAATCGTGTATAAAGGACTTACTCCCACTTATCGGAAACAAGTTGATTCATCGGGGTTAGAATCACTCTCGAAATTAGAGAGAAATTTGCGACAGTTCAAAAAGGTTCAAGATCTCGACGACAGATACGTTCCCCCTCCCCCTAAAGAGAAAATGCGTTTTCCCGCCGCGGCTTATAAGGGTGCGAAACAGGAAGAAAAAAAACCATCTTCCTCAGAAGAGACAAAGAAGATAGCGGCCTTAGAGGACGAGTTAGCGACGGATAGCGAGGTAGATAAGGTGGTCGACAAGAACAGTACGGGGAAAAAGTCAAAGAAGACAAAGAATACAGATTCTGAGAAGGGGACTACAGAGGTGAATACAATTAAGCAATCAAGTCCTCAGCCATCCGCGACTCCGATACGGGCTTCTAACCCCACTCCTACTTTTGCGACAGTGGTCGCTGGGAAAGGCAAGCGCCAATTTCCACCAAAACAAGGAGCTGGAAATACTGGACAATGAGCACAAATTGCGACGGGTGGGCCGAAGCCATTTGTGGGGGCATGTTTCACATGTCAGATGGTCGGACACAAAGTTTCGGAATGTCCCATGAGGACAGACAATAGGGGGCACAGAGCGGGTCTGTACCCCCCTCCAACCCACTGAAGAATCCTTAAAACCGATTCTTAACGACGGGGTAGCGACCGGGGTTGGAAAAGGTCCAGGGGAAAATAAGAGTAAACCAAGAGGGTTAAATTTTTTCCCTATCAACGAGGGTGCATCCTGTAGTGGGCAACAGAGTGAAAAGAGACCACTCAAACAGTGTGAAAAGAGAGTTGGTATTGACGAATTAAATGCAGAGAATTCATTCAAATTTGTGACACGGGTACTAAAAAGCCAAACGAGTGGAGAGCATTCACTCAAAAACGTGTTGGTGACAGATAGGACTAAAGATACTGAAATGGAGTCAGTACCAATAGTCCAGGGGAGGAGAGAGGCTGTGACGGACACAGCTGACCCAGAACCCTTATTCGACAAGGATCTAGACGGCAGTCGTATGGAAAATCGTTATTTCTTTCGAATGATCATTAGCGACAAATCTTGCAAACAGGTTGGCTGCTCTGAGAAAGAAAGGTATTGTTAAAGCAAGAAATCAAGATTTAGCTTTGGCAAGTAGATATAGTGTTCCATCCATAATGGTTGATGCACACTATCTCACTAAAGATACTAAGGATACAGTAGATCCCTTGCTCGTTATAGCTGCTTTGGAATTTTCACCAAAGACATGTGAGTTACCAGCGTTCTGAACATTACTAGCAAAATCTCCTATTGCCAATACATTAATGAACCATAAACAAACATTGATGACTGGATTGAAGAATGATATGGTAATTGCTCATAAGCTCATGATGATAGAAGGAGTTCCGTTTGGTAGAGAGATGGTAGGGGATTATGAAGGGAAAGCAGCTAGAGATAAATTATCTAGTATATTGGTATCAAGGAAACCAACAACTATAGATTTATCTAGGGCTATGACAAGTCTCATATCCAGTTGTTCGGCAGTAGATGTAGAACAGCATGTAACGGGAGAAGTGTCAGCAGGTGCTATATTGGGTTGGGATGTGTCGCTGAATTGTCATACTCAGAAATATCTATTCTACTATAGATTTGGTCATTGTATACACCCAGATATGCTAACCGGTGATGTATCACGGAACGCTTTGAAAAATATGATAGATATGAATAATGCTTATGTCAGTCTCAAAGATATAGACTTCCAGAGTGAAACATCAGAGTGAAAAGAGACCACTCAAACAGTGTGAAGAGAGAGTTGGTACTGACGAATTAAATGAAGAGAATTCATTCAAATTTGTGACACGGGAACCAAAACGCCTAACGAGTGGAGAGCATTCACTCAAAAACATGTTGGTGACAGATGGGACTAAAGATACTGAAATGGAGTCAGTCCTCCCCTCAGTCCAGGGGAGGAGAGAGGCTGTGACGGACATAGCTGACCCAGAACCCTTATTCGACAAGGATGTAGACGGCAGTCGTATGGAAAATCGTTATTTCTTTCGAATGATGATTAGCCTCAAATCTTATGAGGCACTTTTCGACTCTGGAGCGATGATCTCGGTGATTAGCGACGGAGTAGCTAAGACTTAAAAGAGCCGCATCCAGCCTTGCAATACATAGATAAGAACCGCCATTGGAGGAGTAACTGAGACAGCTGAATTGTTGAATTTGAACATCGAGGTGGATGGCCATTCTCAACCGTTTAGCGTCAAGGTCCTCAGTTCAGTAGTACAAGACATAATTTTGGGTGTGGATTTCTTTAAGCCTGGAATATGGAGGTACAATTGGGACTGGGGTTATGGAAAGTTTTCAATGGCGACTGGCATGTTTTTGGTGTCAAGGATGAGATTGAGAGTGATGAGTCGATCTACGCTGAATGCGCTGCAATCCCTGCGTTGACGGATAAACAAAGAGGGATCATTCAAGAAATGGTGAACCGATTGGTTCTTCCAGAATCTGACGTACTGGGGGTGACAAATCTGATAGAACATCATATAAGGGTTACAGAGGAGACACCAGTACAGCGTCGCCAGAGACGCATGTCACCTATTATGATCACGTGGGCTCAAGGACACATGATTCAACTACATGGGCAAGGCATGATCGAACCATCAAGTAGCGACTGAAGGAGTGCACCGGTTACCGTCAAGGAGGCCTATTTAATTCTGACGATAGACTCCATACTCGACAAGTTAAGGAAGGCGCGATACTTGTCGAAGATCGATATAAAATTGGCATATCACCAAATTCCAATGGCAGAAGACAGCGGAAAGTACACGGCCTTTGCCATCCCCGGCTCAGGACTGTGGCAATATCGACGGATGCCATTCAGCTTGAGGAACGCGCCAATGACTTTTCAACGAGTGATTGATGTTCTTTTCGGACCGGAATTCGAACCTCACGTGTTTGGTTATCTCAACGATATAATAATTGTGACGGATACTTTCGACGAACACGTGAAATTGCTGGAGATAGTTTTAAAGAAGCTAGCAGACGCAGGATTTGTGGTTAACCCAGAGAAATGTGAGTTCGCGTGCTCTAGGGTTACCTACTTGGGGTATCTTCTCGACAATGAAGGATTGCGACCAGACCCCAAAAAAACCGAGCCAGTGAGAAACTATCCAGCACCAAAGAACGTCAAACAACTCCGGAGATTTTGGGCATGATGGGATGTATTCGAGGTTTATCAAAAACGATAGTGAAATCAAAATACCGCTCCTTAAACTGCTCAAGAAGGGTTTAGACTGGGTATGGGGCGAGGAGCAACAAGAGGCTTTCGACAAGTTGAAGGACAAACTTACGCCAGTGTTGGCCCGTCCTGAATTTAGTAAGACATTCACTATCGAATGTGATGCGAGTAGTTTTGCTATTGGAGCTGTGTTGACTCAGGAGTTTGACGACGGTGAACATCCGGTGATGTATATCAGCTGTGTTCTGACAGGGACAGAACAGAATTATAGCGTCACTCAGAAGGAGTGTCTAGCGCTGCTTTGGGCGATTAAGTATTTGCGACAATATATTGAGGGATACAAGGTTAAGGTGATCACAGATCACAGTGCCCTAAAGTGGCTTAGAAACTTGAAAGACCCGAGTGGTCGACTAGCGAGATGGACCCTGGAGATGCAGGTGTAGGATTTTGAAATCATACACAGGAGAGGCGTATTACACCAAGTACCAGATGCACTGTCCAGGATGAGTGAAGATGACGAAGAGATGATCGATGCCTTTGATGCCATTATGGAACAATGGTACCTTAAGCGACGAGATTTGGTTCGACAATTCCCAGAGCGCTTTCCTGGGAGGAAAATTGAGAACGATCATCTTTATCGATATAGAAGTGACCAATTACTCCTTCCGATTGTTGGCGACGAGGATGATTGGAAACTGGTAATACCTGAGGAGTACAGAGAGAAAGTTCTCCACGACGGCCATGGATTGGCGTCGACAGGTCATTTGGGGGTGGAGAAAACGTATAATCGAGTGGCGAGAGAATATTACTGGCAAGGAATCTGAAACGATGTCCACCAGTATGTCACTCGATGTCCCTAGTGCCAGCTTCACAAAGCATCACTGGAAAGTCGGTGGCCAAAGCATTTGAAGAATTGGTCCTCTTCCGCTGGGAAACCCCTTACTTTTTATTAACAGATAATGGAAAGGAGTTCGACAACAAATTTCTTAAGGAGACCCTTCAGGAATATGGAGTTAAACACATCACGACACCACCCGCAAGCTAATCCTGTGGAGAGGAGTAACCGCACATTGAAGACCATGATTGCGACTTTCATAGGGAATGATCATCCCGACTGGGATCTTCATGTTCACGAGTTTCGCCATGCTATGAACACCGCAGCACAGGTGGCGACTAGAACGTCTCTTGCATTTTTAAATTACTGAAGACATCCTCGACCGGTTAGAAGCTTGCGACGGAAGGTAGAAAAACGAGATCAGGTTAAGAGAATAGGAAGGAACGGCGAGTTAGTCGTCAGCGACTGAGGTCGGCGTCACTCCATCGCCCGGAGAGTGTTTTCGAACCCCCAAGGGACGTCTCAATTCCCCTTTCGCTGTTGGTCTTTCCAAATCCAGACCCAATGGAGACCGGAGAACTGGGGTCGATCCGTCGCCACACCTTGCCGACTAGGGGAGAGGAGAGGAAAGAGGTTCCTCTTACCAAGCCGACGGCCTTGCCGTCGACAGAGACTGCGGACGACTACCTTCATTGACGTAAGGGGGAGAGTTGGGAACAATTCGAAAACAGGTTGGCCGTTCACGAGTTGGAACGTTTGGTTCAAAACAAGCCGCAACAGACAACGGTGGGTTTGGAGAAATTAAAGGAGGGCCAGCAAGAAGAGAGAGAAAAGAGGAAGAAGGTGCTGAGAAAGGAGGATCTCGTTTCCCGGGGTGATGAGGATGACGTGAGCACCTCCTACGAGACCAATCACACTGCCTGGCTCTCCAAACCGAGAGGAGATTTTGCGACCAAGGGAGAAGGAGGCGGAGAATAGTCGACGTGGACTTCTTCCCACTAAAACAACGAAGGTGATGTTTCAGGGGTTGAAACCCATCCCTACTGACCCAACTATCGATATACCCCCCGGGTGTGTTAAAATTGTTGGCTTAGGGGCCATCACCGTCAGCAATGCCCGAAGAAAGTCACTGAGTCCTGCTGCTTTAATTGCTCCAGGAAGTATGTGACCTTGGCGACATGCCCAAGGTGCGCCGAGGCCCACGAGAGGTTCATCCGCGAGAAGAATCGCCAACTATCGACTAGGGTGCGTGAGCATAGTAAGATGACGAAGGGGGCGGACGCTCGGAAAGAAAGAACGAGAGAAATTGCTGAGGTTCCGCTTCTGATCGACAGAACCACTCCTCGACCACCGATTGTCGACATGGGTTCGGAAGTGGAGCTGATCCCGGATCCTCCACTACCTACTTCGGAAGCGGCGCCAGTGGTAGCTCCGGCCATGGAGTTGTCCCAAGCAATTACGGACTGGGTCAGGGAGAAGTAGGAGTCCGGGACGTGGCGCCATCACGATCTTGGCAGGGTACAGAGGTACCGGAAGTCGCAGTTAAATTTGAAGTTTTTCTCGTAGTGTGTAGAAGTGAGTAATTTTTGAGAAGAGTTGTGAAGTCGTCGAGTGGATTCTCGACCTTTATTTTGTAAAGGGGTAATAAAGTATGTAAAAGAGAGTTTTGTTTTGTGTTTGGCCATCTTCTCCTTACCGGCGTCTTCCAGACACCAGCTGAGAGGGCAGACCAGGGAGGAAATTGTGAGCGAGTTTCGTCGTGGGTAAGTTCAATTTTGTTGTCGTCGTGTCTCAAGGGTCGTGTTCCTTTTCTCGACTTGCGTTCTCGACAGAATCTCCTCTGAGATTTATTTTAGTTGATTTTAAGTTTTGGGTTTAATTTGTGAAAGTTGTGGTATTCCGGGTTTGACAATTCCATTCAAAAATTGGCTGGCGTCTGACATTTTTCACGTTGGGTAACACTTTTGTAACATTAAAAAGGGATATTTAATTGACAATTCTTAATTAAATTAATTATTTCGTTATAATATTTAAATTATTAATATTCGCCATAATTCATGCAAAGTTTTTATTTTCAAAAATCTAAATTTGAATTTAGATGACACTGAAAACCTTTCAGTAATAAGTTTTAAATAAATTCAATTGCTTTTCAATTTTTCTGTCCTCCATATGGATCCGCAATTTTGAGTTTTGAAAAACTAATATCAGATTCGTAATCAGCGACCCCAAAAACCCCCTTGTAACGTGTTTCAAGCAAATCCACTGAATTTAGATAAATATGTCCGCCATTTAAAATTTTAAAAAACTAACATCAGATTCGTAATCAGCAACCCTAAAAACCTAAGTTCACTCAGTTTTAAAAATTTTGATAGTAAAAAAGTTTCTTAACATTTTGGACCCACATTTAAGATTTTGCTCCTCACAGCGAAGGGGTTATAAATCTTAAGAAAATTATAGGATATTAATTAATTTTTATAAAAACCATAGTGGCGCGACCATTTTCAACTAAAAATTCAACTTTTACGCAAAATTAATAACAATTAAATTGCTTAATTTATCAAACAATTTTTCTTCTGTACTTATTTCGACATCAAGTAGGAACAAATTAATGCAATAAAAGTAGAAAAAGATAACTTGAAAGATAACCCGCGCTTACGTATTTAAGAATAAATGTTTTTTACGTTTTTTATATGTTATAGTTGGTATTTTTTTCTGTTAAAATGTTAAAATAATCATATATTTACTATGATTTATTGAATTCTGTAACATTAGCATTTCAATTATTGCCCACTTGCGACGCCTGTGCAGAACTGAGGTTGCGTGGCGTTGTGAGCGTTTTGTGAGACGAATTGAGACGTCTTATACTTCAGCTACATCATGTGAGGAGACAAGTTGCAAACTTTGTAAAGATAAAAATTGTAGATATTATATGCATATCTTAAATTTATAAGCGCAACTAAACTTAAAAGTTTTAAAAATTGATGATATTTCTGAAAATGACAACTAGGTATTTAATATATTAATATTAATAATATTAATATACACACATAAAAAATCATTTAAATCAATTACAGTTAACTTCAAATTTTTTTTAAATGTTTCTAAAAATAATAATTATCATGTTGGGAATTATATTTAAAAATAACCCCCCCCTCCTCATTTGTAAACAATTGATAATGTGAGACTATTTTAAAATAAATATTTCTCATATTTAATAAATTAAAATTATTTTTATTAATAGTAATTTTTAAATAAAAATTGTATGATAAAAAAGAATTTTTTTTAAATATATAATTTGTATACAAAATTTAGTTTGAAAATAAATATTCTAAATATTTATCTAAATATTGCGAAACACGTCTCAGATTTTTATAAAATCTATTTTTTTAAAAAGAAAGTATTTTTTATTTTATACTTTCGTAAGACGTTATTGGACATTTTGGAAAATTTTAAAGAATTAAATAAAATTCATAAAGTTTAAAAACAATTTCTTTTCAAAACTGATGACAGCAAAAGTAATTTGATTTCAATTTTCGAAATATGTAGAAAGGGACATTTTATGCTAAATAAAAATTCGATTAAAAACCAATTAATAATTTAGTTTAAAGAATATCTAATATGTAATTTCAGAGTTTGATGATGGATAATATTTAAAAATAATAAATATAATACATGAAGGATAATTAAATGAAAATTAAAGAAAAAAAAACGTTAGGAAGAAAGTTTCTACTTCTTTTAAACATATCGGATATTTGAAAAGATCGATAACATTTTTAAATTGAATTGTATTCAACACTTTTTATTTTACGAAGCATCATTTGTGAAAAATTGCACTTTTTGCTAAAAATTATTAAATCCTAATCGTATCATTGAAAGTCAATTTTTGTATACAAATAAACTTAAAGACGAAAATAGAAATTTTATAATATAATTAATTCTCATGAATATTTCCGTATAGAAAATTTATTTTGAAAAAGTTGTTATCCAGAAATATTCCTAAGAATTAATAAATTAATTAATTTGACTATAACGATGTATCAAAGCTAGATATGTTTAACCAAATACAAATATTTTATCTTCAAGTACATGTTCTTGAAAAAAGAATCTTTTTTAAAACATGTAAAATATTGAAAGAAATTTGTTCGAATTGAAATTACAAATAAGATTTGCGCGCACAGTATAAATAAATCTGTGTGTCATTAACGCAGCTGTAAATGCCGATAAAATTTTTATTCGGCTATTCCTTTATTTGGTTATGTCCTAATTTACCTATTTTGCAAAAAAGAAAGATGTTACAATAAGCGATAAAAAATAAAAAGAATTTTTGTAGCATGATCACTCCATACCGAATAGGATATCATTTATTTACTCTTCCCTCTCTTGGTCCTCGGTCGTGTCTTCTTTCGTTTCTCCAACCTCTTCGACATGTTCAATATCCTCGTCGGAAATGTCTTTTACTTCGCTTTCTGAATCTCTACGTTCGGAATTACCAGATGCTCTTTCTTCATTTACTACTGATGTTCTTCTTTCCTCCATGCTGTCAACACAGGGACAAACAGACTTAAATATGTTTTATTTCTCTTGAACGCTTTTATAGTCTGTAGTTTTTGTTTGAACAGCCAAGCAGTAAGCAAACTTCTTCGAAATTCCGTATTCAAATATATTCGTAAATTTGAAGCTAATTCTTTCAGATAATATTCTATACATGTATATATTGTATCCCGAATAAATTTCTCAAATACTTTAGAAATAGTTAAGGATGAAAAATGCGTGCAAAATTTTGTAAGACAAAATTAACTTTCCTCTGTACTTCTTCATGATTAGCTTTATAATCACCTTTCTGTTATTGCTGTTGCATCGTCTTTTTCTGTGGATGGCTGTAATAACAATAAAAATATCAAATTACAAAAACTTTTATTGTTATTAAATAAATATTTTAAATTAAACTAGTCAAATTATTTTTTAAGAATTCCGTAAAATGAGGCAAAGTCGTTTATATAATGAGTTAGTTAATTTATACTACAAAAATTAATCATTTCTTTTTTTATAAATAAGTTTGATTTTTACAAAATTTCAATATCATTTATTCATTGCAAAAATTATTATTATTATATTTAGAAACAAGCTTAATGACGAAGGACTTTACTACGTTTAAAGCGTTTACAATTATATAATATACCCCCACAGCACCGAAACTTTCCTAAAGATTTCCTAAAAATTTATTTGAAATGTTTGGAATATTCAATTGCAAAGCGAAAATTTCATTTAAATATTCAGGAAAGTATTGCGCTAAACATTTATTTAATCGGGACATTTAAATCTTTACACAATTCTCACTAAACATTGCAATTAAATATTCCAAACATTTCCAATAAATCTTTAGGCAATCTTTAGGAAAGTTTCGGTGCTGTGGGGGTACATTGCATTTCATTTAATATATCTAATCATGAATTATAAAATAAAAATTAGAAATCAATGTTTAAATCTTAAGGGGGGAAACTCGTGTAAAAAAAATTTTTTACATTTTTTTTTTTTGCTTTAAAAATTAGTTTACTATCTGTAGAATATGATCCTACATTACTAATCTATAATTAGATGTATGAATGTGTATAGTAAACATAAGTTTAGCATTTCAGATGCAACAAAATGCAGTTAACGTTGAGCACGAGATCCCTCTATTCTTTCGGTTTCTCGTCAATATAATTTTATTAATTGTCATTAGCAAGTACCATAAGCAAGTGATAGTAAATCTTGGTTTTAGTGCAATAGTTATTTTCGAATACATAACGTCTTCAAGGCAATAGTTAAAACACTACTTTTATGTATCGAAAACTTTAAACGCGTTTTTCTCGAAACAGGTTTTTTCGCGCGCCGTGCAATGTAACTCAGCCAATTTTAAACCGATTTTAATCAAACTTACCACAAATCTTCTTTATCTTAGTGGCTATTGCATGACGAGCTCCTTTTTTAAAAAAAATTTTTTCAACAATTTGAACATTGTTTATAAAAAAAAGTGATTTTTTTCAAAATGGTCACAAATCAAAAAAAATTTTTTTTAGTTTTCTCTTCGTCATGCAAAGTGTATTTGCGTATTTCAACGGTAAAAATTTTGATTTTTAATTGTAGTTGAGATTTGTGACCTGTAGGCTGCACGGTGCAAAATCAAAGTTGCAACTTCAAACGCCGCAATTTTGTAATATTTTTTAATAAAAAAATTTTTTTATAAAGCTTATATTGTGTACTTTAAGGTATGCCTTACTTTAATTCAATAAACTTTACCAGTTTTTTAAAAAAAAAACGTGCATTTACACGAGTTTCCCCCCTTAACCCATTAACGACAAAATTTTCTGTTCATTTTCAAGACACGTTATTATGAATAAAATGAACAATATTTTTTATCGGAGATACATTTACTAAAGGTCTTCAGCGTGCTCTTTTTGAATTCGGTGTCAAAAATAAATTTCTTCTAACCCGAAATTAAATATGTAGGTTTTAATGCAAAAACTTACAAAAAAATTTTCCTTTCTTTTGAGTTTGATATTTTTTTTTCATCCGGAAAAAGTAAAGAATAAAATTCTATTCTCAATCAAAAGTATATAAAAAATTGTATAATTTTGAGAAATGTAGCGTAGAATTCAAAACTCCATTATGGCGGACTCAATATGGCGTCAAATCCATTGTAAAATTTGCAAGATTTGATAAATATTTGTTAAATTTCGAAAATGTCATCAAATTCGCCTACATTTTGTTACTCGAGGATTTTTGGGGTCGCTGATTACGACTCTGAACTTCGTTTTCAGAAATTCAAAATGGCGGACGACTAATTAAAAAATACATTTAATTGGCCTGAATTTTTGTACTCGGGGTTTTTAGGGGTCGATGACTACGAATATGACCCTTCCTTTTTAAAATTCAGATTTACTTGAAACTCGCTACTCAGGGATTTTCGGAGTCGCTAATTACGAATATGAACATTGTTTTCAAAAATTCAAATTGGTGGTTCCAATATGGCGAACGACTAATTCAAAAATTTACCCCAAAAACCTCCGAGTACAAAAATTCAGACCAATTGAATGAGCACGCTAAAGATCTTTAAAAAATTAATCTCCGATAAAAAATATTGTCCTGTTTATTCATAATAACGTATCTCGATAGTGAACAGAAAATTTTGAGCTATTTTTTGTCACTGACATGAAAAAGAGAAACCATTATTACAACTGCCGTAAAATGTCTTTTTTGTACAATAAACTGCTATAAAAAGTCTTTTTATGGCAGTTGGCAGGAATTGCCTTAAAAGGAATAGTTTATCGGACCAAAACATGGAGTAAAGTATTCTTCCAACCACTAAGTTCGTAACACAAGTCCCATAAGTGTGATTTTAGAGAAAACATTCTTTGTGGCTTCGATATAATCCAGCCAATTCTTGAACAGTATATACACATTTTTTTTAAATTTATCTTAATATTTAAAGATTTCTTATAGAATATTTTCACTTAGTCCGTTGGATATTAGAATTCCTCCGTGCTGACTTAGGTTAGACTAATGCCAGCTGACTAGTTCCACATCGATACCAGCGCCACAGTTCGGTGATTATGTGTACTTTCCATCGTCCCATAAAGTGAGCTGGACTTGCTCTCAGCCAATCACAGTGCAATACGTCATTCCTTACAGGCCTAAGCCTTTAATGAAATTACTTTTAGGGTTAAGTAGACATGTCTTTATAGTATTACTCTCCGTCTCTAAAATCACACTTATAGTGTCAGCGTGCTAAAAATTAATTAAAAGTAAAATATAATAGAAAAATAAAAATTCTAAGAATCTAAAACAATAATTATGAATTATATTTTCAGAGTTTATTCTATTTTCTAGAGAATTCCATGTTTTGTAGATACTGCTATTATGCAAGCAAAGCTCTCATAAGACAATTTTAGTAAGGGATTGTCTTATGAGAGTTTTTTCCCTGAGAAGTTCAATATACAGTGTCAGTTATCTTGACACTATTGCCCGTGCTTATGACTTTATGACTAGATGTCCTTCATGGAAGGCGATCAAGATAGGAGAAAATTGTCTTATGAGAGGTTAGCCTGTAATATAATTAGTTATACTGATCAACAACCTTTTCATATTTATTTTTATCATTATTATTACATTATTAAGTTTGCTATATCAGTTAAAAAATAGATACTTACATAACTTTTGCTTTACATGCTATAAAATCACCATGCTAATGTTTAATTTATTACTTCTAAAATATTTAATTTTTTTACAGAAAATTAAAAATACTGTCTTCTAAAATAACACATTTGCTGAATAAAACGAATTAATTAATTTTATTTATTACTCAAAATAAGTAAAAATAAATGTTAAATAAAACTAAAAATTTTTTAATATTTTCTTTTACTTTGAGTGAAAGAAATGGTCCAATTTTGGAAAAACGCTAATCCAAAAAAAATCGTATGTTATAATCTAATTAATAGAAATAAATAGTCACTTAATTTAAAATAAGAATTAGAAAAGAGGTTGAAGAAGATAAAAATAATTAGAATAAAATGTAGAGGAACTTTAAATTAACGCTGAGATGCAATGAAGTTATTTTTTTTATTCGAGAATTATTCTTAGATATTGAGATTATAATCTTGAATACTTTAATAACTTTAACATTTTTTTTCAGTTTTTAAAAACATTTTTCATTTTGGGGTTAGGCTGCAGTCGCATGGGAGAGTTTTGCGTTGCGTTTTGTCTCTAAACAATGAGTGTAAACATAGTAAACATATATCTTCATCTCTTTTACACTCATGGTATAGTAAAAAAACACAACGCAAAACGCTGCCATGGGAAACGTCATAAATATTGCAATCTGCAAGTGGTTCTCCCATTTGCAAATTGTGAAATTTTTGACGTGGATTGACTAAATGAATCCAATTCAGTCAATAAACAACGTTTCATAGAAAAGTGCAATATTTTTCATATTATGAAATTTATCTCTGAAATATCTTTTAGATCCATAAACATAACACAGGCCTGCATGGTTTTTTATTTTCGATATTGGAGTGATTTCCAATGTACTTTTGTCCGTTGAACACGATTCCGGCTCCCAAAAATATCTACCAACACGGTGGTCCTCGAATAGTTTCAACTATGACTTTCTTCCACCTCTAATTTCTTTTTTTTGGGAATTTTCATTTTCCAAGAAAAATTTAAATCGAAGACTGAGCACTGCTTTTTTAATTGCGTTGTTTCGATTTTTTTGTATAATTTTTTTGTGAAAAATTTAATTTTAAAAATATTTTATTACTTGACTTATAATTGAACAGACGTATTGTAGAGCTGCTAGGAAACCTTAAAATGTTTTTACCCTAGGGCAAACATGGACGCCATTTTCAGACGGGAGAATAAATGATTGGCTTTACACCCGGATGTCAGGTATCTAAAAGCGCCATGTTTGTGCTTGAAGAATAAAAACGTATTTTTTTAGAGGTTTTCAATATTTTTTTCTCTTTACCTTCACTTTTTACAAAATCCTGACGTTCTAGACAATTAATTGCTTAGAACTAGAAGACCTCATAGAAGTATCTAGTACGTAAGGTTAAAGAAAAAAAATCTAAAAAAAACTAAAAATCCTGACGAGCTAGACAATTTTTGGATCCGGTATAGTGTTCAGAGGACAAAATACATTGGAAACCACTTCGATATAAAAAAAATTAATTTTCCAGACCTGTGTAATTATACATCGCTATCATTAGATCTTGATTTATAATTTAGAATTATTTAATTTTGAGATCAGCATTAATTTAAAATTGTTTCCAAATTAAAGTATTCGACTAACATAATTAGCACGCATAAAAATAAAGTATTATCGTTACCTCTCGACTAGATGTGTTACCATTCTGATGAACTTCTTTATTTTGTGACTTGGAATTCAAAGTAACTTCGGCTGTGCTGATCGAAATTGACAATTTGAGAAACTGTTCCAATTCATCATTTTCATTAGCCAAGTCAAAACCCTCATAATCCTGAAATGTTCGTAAAATAAATAAAAGCTTAAGAAACAATGTGTGGACTGATTGATAAAAAAAGGAATATCAAGATTACTACATACATAAATGTCTAAATTTCTTATAAACTTACCCCACAGTAGTCATCTTCATTGAATATTTGAGGAGGTAAAGGATATTTACTGTCCGTTGCAGTGCTCATAGTTTGCATAAATTCTTTTTCATCTTCTTTTCCGGGTTCAGTAATATCAATAACTTCGTACGCTACATTCTTACTATCCAGAATCATCAATACTCTCTGTTGCCTTTTTTTCACCTAAAAAAAATTGAGAAACAATATTTAAACTTAAAATAAAAAAAGATAATAATTTATTTTCAATCTCTGTCTATGCAGCTGTAAGCTTCAGATCGACATTTATTCATGATCTCGATCGCATTTTTCGTGAATTAAAATTATACTCTCCAAGAAACTGTTACTTTTTGGCAGGATATTTCAATACCAAACATCTTCAATTAGGTGAAGTCCTATTGAAAATTCTTTTAATGATTCCTTGCAGGATTTCTATAAAGGATCCTACATAGGATACCTTCAAGGATAGGGTGACCATAACCAATTTTCTCAAACTGGGACCACAAAGGCATTAAAAAACAGGAGAACATGATGACAATTGGGGTGTTCAATTTCCCGATTCATATCGAGCGGACGTAGTATCGATTATCAACTGATTTATTGCTTTCTTTACCGTAGTTAAAATAATTAGTGTTTCTTTTGGTTATTAAATAAATAGTTTTTATGTTACATTGAGTGTCATTATTTGGTTATTGTGGTGTTGTATTTTCCTGGCGGATTTGAATTTTCTTGTAATTCGACGGCGTTGTGGATTTAGAGTTCATCGAGGCCTTTGGTAAGTTAATTTTACATGTTCGACCTGCCTCAACGTCTTCGCCGTGGCGCTCCCGGCTTCAGAATAGGGCGCCTGTAGCCCACTGCATGTCGTAAAAGGCGACTAAAGAGGGAATTTGAACACAGTACGCCTCCTCGTCCGGAGGCACGGTGAGACCGTTGTGGTTTCAGACTGTGGTCTGACACTTCGGTTTGGGAGCGGATGTTCCACGTGGTCCCCGTTGGAAGTGCAGGATTCTTGTCCTTGCTAACTCACGCCCACTCCTGTTAAGGTGTTATCGGGTCCAAGATGAATGTTACTAACCGTTCCGCCATATCATTGGGCACCCTATTGTATAAGTTCTGTGGGAATGAATGTGTGTGACCTACCAGACCATCGGTGGGTGGAGCTTAGCTCGGAGACGGAACCTCCACTAGGTCCCCGCTGGGTACTTTGATTCCCTTCATTAACCTTCGCTTGACAAGATGCCCACCCAGGGTGGGCCAGACAAATTGAAATTGCCATATCTTCTAAAGTTTTGCCTTAATTGAATCGCGATTTTAAGTCACTGAACAAAATCTTAAGAACTTTCAAAAAATGTAAAAACAAATTTTTAAAAAAAATTTCTTCTTGATTATTTATAACTTTTATCAATGTATGTACGGAGATAACCGGGATGATTCAGATATTTTTTTAATTCTATTTTACAAAAAGACTTGAAATCATGCAGACTTTTCACTGTGAGTGTTTTATGATGTCAAATAATAGATATAAAAAATATTATATTGCATTTTTCATTTGTTTAAACAATTTATTGTTATTATTTATTAACTTTCTTTGTTCTGCACCTAGAAAGATGCAGTTTTTTTCTAATTTTGCAATTTATCAAGCCGAATATAATAAAAGATAGATTTGATGTAAAATTATTAATTCAACAATTGTTTAAACAAATAAAGTTAATAAATAACAACAATAAATTTTTTAAACAATCGTTTGAATACTAAATTCATATAAAATCTTCATGTTTATTATGTTGAGCTTGTTAAGTTGCAAAATTAGAAAAAAATTGCAACTTTCTTGGAACATTATAAAGAAAGTTAATAAATAGCAACAATTATTTGTTTAAACAATTGGTTAAATAGTAAATTCATATAAAATCTTTGTATTATTATGTTGAGCTTGTTAAGTTGCAAAATTAGAAAAAAATTGCAACTTTCTAGGAATATTATGAAGAATGTTAATAAATAGCAACAATTATTTGTTTAAACAATTTATAATAATAGTTGTTGCAAATTGAATTATATATTTTATTTTATTTATAACCTTTGAATTAATAACTACGAAGAAAAGGTAACAAATTTATAAAATTCTTCTACTGTCGTATGTATATTTGAAAAAGTTATAAATTATTAATAATAAATTGTTTAAACAAATAAAAAATCAACAAAACATTAATAAAATATATTATTTGGTAACATATAACAATTTTGGAAAAAAACTGAATGATTCTAAGTTTTTATTGCAATATACAAAGAAGAAAACATTTGGCCCACCCTGGGTGGGATCTTGTCAACCGTGTATATAAAAAGTATCCAGTCCGGCGAAGGTTAATACGCAAATGGTATTTTCTCATTGGAAATTCATTTCTATTCATTTCAATTAGTTGTGACAAATCAGTAAGCGGGATTCAGAACAATTCAACCAAAAGTCAATTCATTTTAATTAGTTTTTTTACTGGGTTCCCATATAATTTCCTACTTGGTATCTTATTTGAACAATTAAAACACATGAGATCCTATGTAGGAATCTATATGAGAATATATATAGGAACCTGCATAAGATTCTACATGGACTTTGATATGGATTCCTATAGAATGAAGTCTTACACGAGATCCTATATGTAGGAATCCATATGATAGGAAATATTTAGAATTTCATATGGTATTTTTTGTAAAATTTAATGTGGGTAATTATGAAGGAAACTGACAAGGGAAATTGATAAAAAAAAATGTAAAAAATTACATAAGAATCCACATGAATTCCTATGTAGAAACACAAATACAAATTCTTACATGAATTCCTACTCAAAATCGTGTCTTAATTTCACATATGGTTTTTTTTATAAATTTCATATGGATTTCTATAAATTTGCAGTTTAGCGTAAATTTTAAACTGCTATATCTTCCGTTCTAATAATCAAATTGAGGTCTCCTTTTTTTAAAATGTCAAGGAAAATGAGAGGAATATAATTTTACAATTAAAAAAAAATATTAAATAATAATTGAATAAATTTCGCGCGCTAATTTAAAATTCAATCAGTTAAACGCTAAAATGATCTTACCTGTGTTTTCTTTAATGTTCCAAAGGAACCCAACTATAAACAATTGTGCTTTCTGCTAGTTGACGTGCAGACGACATTTGCGCACGCAGCATTCTCATGTAGCCAATTTAGTCCACGAATCACGTCAGCTGGTGGAGAAAGTGACGCGAGAGGAGAGTGCGCGCTATTCCAAAGTATTTTAGCCTTCTTCGGTTAAAATTTGGGGTTCGCCCCGTAATACGGTCTTTCTCGAGTTCCTGATTATTGCCATTGAAATAGTCTGGCACGAATTTTCTTACGCGAGTGCAAACCAAACGAGAAACTTTCATATTGAACTTTCTAACCTCAAAACGGCGTCCATACGCCTACACTGAAAAAGTCTTAAGCGATCAGCAGTTCCAACAGTGGAAATGCAGTAGCTCTTTGCTTTGGAGTGTCTGGAGCATGATTTTGAGCAACCTCTATGCTAAATGTTGGGCGAGCAGATGTTCCACGTTATTGTCACCAAGATTTGGTGATGCTGCAGCATCAGACTTGGGCACTCAGAGCACCCAAGATGGGAAACAGTTAGCCCCACAATGAAGTTGTGCAGAATCTCTTTATTTGGTGCTTCTCATACATGCGTTGGGAATTCTAAACGCCCAAGACTTTTTCAGTGTAGGGCCCGCGCATTTGAGCGGTGACCCATTTTCGTAGAGCCATGTCTACTGTAGATGGCGGGGAAACAAGCCCTTCCTTGATAGACAACTCATTGTCATCAAACCCACTTGATGTTTTTCAAGCAGTTGATCTTTTATTGAATTTTAAACAATCCTCTATCACTAAAAAACGAAAATTAGTCGATCCGCATTCGGATACCCTCGAGACCCAATGAGATTTTGGCCACCAAATGATGTGTGACGACGATCCGAACGGTCTAAGTTCTCAAGAGAACGACAATAGGCAAAGTAATGCCAATAGTCAATCTCTGAATGAATTCCGGTACGATGAATTGCAGAAAGGAGAATGCAAGATCATAATTGAAAATTCCACCTCAGACAAAACGACCAAAGAATTGAATAGATTGACTTATGCAAAAATTTTGAATGCCAAGTATAAAAATTGTATAGTAGACGTTAAAAGTTCTGGTTTTGGTAAGTTATCAATTTACACGAAGTCAGCATGTGCAGCGAATTTAATTTTGAATGATAAAACTTTTTTGGAGAGTAAAGATATAAAAGAGTTTGTTCCCTCTTATTTTGTTACTTCTCAGGGTGTGATTAGAGGTGTTCCATTTGACATTTCCGAACAGGAAGTAAAAGATAACCTCGAAATCCTTGGTTTCCATCATGGCAGATCCGCTGTCATTTCAGTTCGACGTTTAATAAGAAAATCGATTAACACTAAAACGAATAAAACAGAATACATACCCTCGCGTACTGCTTTGTTAACATATCAGCAAGTATTGCAAATCCGAAAAAATGTGCAGGCAATGCGGTGAGTTGGCTCATGCAGAGGACACTCCTTGTCCTCTCATTGAAAAAGACCCAGTGTGTATACACTGCAAGGAGAATCCCAAACTCGAACACAATCATTTGCCCAATTCAGAAAAATGCCCTGAATTAGCTTTTCAAAAGAATTTTCGAATGTATGCTGTTGAGCATTCTCTAACCTTTCCTGAATCGAAAGCCGCGATTCTTTCGCGTGTGTACAAAAAGAAACAAAACAAGAAATCTCCAACAAACCACAATTTCAGTCAGTTTCCAGAGTTTGGAGATCAACTCTCAGACTCTTCGCCTCCAAGTCCTTTACAACAGGCATCATACAGTGAAAAAGCTTCTCACCCTCCAAATAAAAATCATTATCGTCCCTCAGAAAGACAAGAAACTTTCAATTTCAATTTTGGACAGAAACCTTCTACAAGTGGTAACACAAAGAGCAAACAACCTTTCGCTCATTTATACTCAACATGTCTTCCTGATACCCTTTCTAAGGGTTTCGCTCTCCATCCACCAAAATTCGGAAAAACCCGTGTAACCCCCAAGTAAACGAAGACCTAGAACATGTTCTCTGGAACTGTCCAAGATTCGACCAATTTCGTCCTAAATTAATTCGACGGCACTCGAAAGCATT